CTTCCGGTAAACCTACTGGGCTGCAGCCATGCCTCAGCGCCGGCGCGTGGTTCTCGCATCGAGCAATGAGCTCAAGGTGGGCCATGTAGCAAGCGTAGCAAGTGGGTTGGGAAGGTGCCTGTTGGGAAGGTTCACACCAGTAATCCCATCCCCTTTAAATGAAACACCCCCTAAATATGGTCCCAATTATGTGGGGGTTCCTACTGGTTTCAAAGATCTAAGGAGTTGTTAAGTATAGGGCGAAGGGGTGAATGTTTGAAAAGCAATACTAAATCATCCCAAAAATCACATTTTTTATGGGAGGGCCATTTATTTAGGGATTTTTTTTTAGTTTAGGGATTTTTTTTTGGATTTCTTCCTGCTTACTCTATTGCCTCCTGCAGTGCTTCTCTGCTTCTTTGCTTCTATTCCTTTTTTTGCTTTTCTTGCTTTTCTTTGCTTTTTTGCTTTTTTGCTTCCCTTGCTTTTCTTTGCTTTTTTGCTTTTTTGCTTTTCTCGCTTTTCTGCTTTTCTTTGTTTTTTTGCTTTTCTTGCTTTTCTTTGCTTTTTTACTTTTTTGCTTTCCTTGCTTTTCTTTGCTTTTTTGCTTTTCTCGCTTTTCTGCTTTTCTTTGCTTTTTTGCTTTTCTTGCTTTTCTTTGCTTTTTTGCTTTTCCATGAGGTGTGGAGCAACATCTTCTCTTGGTTCGAAGCAGATGGGCACGCTGCAACACAAACACAACCGCCAGCAACAACACCAACACCACCACCACCAACACCACCACCACCACCACCACCAACAACAACAACACTAACACAACACTAACAACACTAACAACACTAACAACACTAACAACACTAACAACACTAACAACACTAACAACACTAACAACACTAACACTAGCAACACTAACACCACTAACGGTGACAACAACAACAACAACAACACTAACAACAGCAACAACAACAACACCACTAAACAACAACAACAACAACACCAACAGCAACAACAACAACAACAACAACAACAGCAACAACAACAACAACGACAACAACAACAATAACAACACTATCAACACAAACACAACCGCCAGCAACACCACCACCACCACCACCACCAACAACAACAACAACACTAACACAACACTAACAACACTAACAACACTAACACTATCAACACTAACAACACTAACGGTAACAACAACAACACTAACAGCAGCAACAACAACAACAACACTAAACAACAACAACAACAACAACACCAACAACAACAACACCACCACCAACAACAACAACAACACTAACACAACACTAACACAACACTAACACAACACTAACAACACTAACAACACTAACAACACTAACAACAGCAACAACAACAGCAACAACACGACCACCACCACCACCACCAACAACAACAACACCACCAACAACAACAACACCAACACCAACACCAACAACAGTAACAGTAACAACAAACAACTGTTGGAATGTCAGCCTTCAGCTCCAAAATCCTGCAAGTACTGTGAGGAATGTAGCTGTAAAATGTTGCACATACGGTGGAAATGCAGATTCCAGCTCAAAAATGCTGCAAAGAGCATGGAAAATGGACAGAACATGCTCATACTGTTGCAAATACCGTGGAAAATACAATGGAAAATGAGAGATTCGAACTCAAAACCGTTGCACATACCGTGGAAATGGCAGTTTCCAGCTCCAAAATGCTGCAAATAGCATGGAAAATGGTGAGAACCGGAAATCCAAAAAAAAATCCCCAAACAAAAAAAAAAAAAACAACAATTTCCTACCCTTTTTTATGGGTGGTATAAACCATCAAAACATGAATGTAGTATTGCCTTACTAGCATTAACTGGTTGGTGGTTTGGAACATGTTTTTCCCATATATTGGGAATAATCATCCCAACTGACTTTCATATTTTTCAGAGGGGTTGAAACCACCAACCAGTTACATATTTCAAGGGGTTTGCTACTTCGTTTGGGTCATACTGGCACGCTTTCGACTTGGAGTAATGTCGATCCACTGGAAGGTCAGATTTGATCCAGGGGCACCATTTGAAACATGTTGAAACCTTGGTTCCATGGTCCATGGCTGGAAATCTCACAAACCTTCAGTGAAAGCAAAAAAGTCGATTGAAAGTACATGAAAGTACAGTTTCAAATTATCTTGGGTTCAGCCCGGACCCTCTTGGCTGATACGAGCTGCTTGGGCAGACTTGGGGATATAATTATTATACGAACTTCTCTCGAAATGACCTCGTCATCGACTAGCCAGGTGTTTAACAATCCTCCATAAGTAGCAATTTTCTTTTGAACACCTCTGTTTTTGTAACGTAGCTATCGGAATTCACATTTGTTTACAGGGATATCATTATAAATATATAAACGGGCCAACCTTTCAGGTTTGGTGAATTGCTATCACTCATCCAGATCCATCATATTGTTGTTTAGAGCCCCATTTACATATATTTGTTTAACCCCCCCGAATTATATCCATCAACTATATATATATATATATATACATCTATCCTAAGACCCCACAATTCATCTATTGCATAAGATGTCCTAATGAGTGCTGACTAGAGATAGCTCTGAAATATTGGCCTTGAAACATCTTGAAACTGTGCCAGTTAACCCTCATCTCCCTGAAGCTTCAGATTGAGGCAGCTAGGCTAGCGGCTGGAATTTTATTGTGGAATATGATATGGAGTTTTCCTAAAATATTGGATACCCAAAATGGCTGGTTTATATAATGAAAAAACCCATCTATAAATGGATGATTTGGGGGTAGCCCTATGTCAGGAAACTTCCATATTAGCTGGTATGATCTGACGTGAGATGACTGGTGATCCCATGGTTGGCAAAGGTGGCTGAAGTGAGCAGATCGCTGGCAAACTACGACATTGCTACTGGGCCCAGGGCGGGAATGATATCACACATTACCCTCTACCAATAACTAACATAGATGTGGAAACCGACCATTTTAATAGGTACCAGTAGGTACCTCATCCAATGCATAAACGGGTCATGTTCCACATTTACGTTCGTTTGTCGCGAGGCTCGAGGGGCAATCCCTGGCGTAAGGCGAGCATGCCTTGTGACTTTCGAATCTTTTGACCTCCAAGAAGGATAGTAAACTAGTAAACCATAGTAAACCATGGTAAACCTAAGAAACCATCACCAGTATATAATAATAATAATCTATATAGACATATAGATCTATCTATAGATCTATCTATAGATCTATCTATCTATCTATCTATCTATTTATCTATCTATTTATCTATCTGTCTATCTATCTATCTATCTATCTATCTTTCTAACTAACTAACTAACAAACTAACAAACAAACTAACTAACTATCTAACTAACTAACTAACTATCTAACTAACTAACTAGCTAACAAACTAACTAACTAGCTAACTAACTAACTAACTCACTCACTAACTAACTAACTATCTAACTAACTAACTAACTATCTATCTAACTAACTAACTAGCTAACTAACTAACTAACTAGCTAACTAACTAACTAACTAACTCACTCACTAACTAACTAACTAACTCACTCACTAACTAACTAACTAACTAGCTAGCTAGCTAGCTAGCTAGCTAACTAACTAACTAACTAACTAACTATATATTTGCCATCCATAAATGGCAAGAACCATCCAAAAATGGTAGGTTTATGGCATTGGCTGAGTCCCACATTACGGGCTCCACTGTTTCAAGGAATGCGTCCGAGACGCTCACGCCGCTGCTTCCCAGGACCCATCCATTTCGAACCCTGTTGGTCCACCCTGTTGGGGGAAACTACAGTTATGGCCCAACTAACAGTTGTAAATGGCATGAAATAACTCCTATAACTAAGGTTATATATATATATATAGATAGAGTTTTTTAGATCGATATAATCATAATCCCATTTGTAACTGTTAGTTGTGCCATAACTGTAGCAAAATTGGGTTTGACTGAAAATATGGTATATCCAAAAAGTCAATTTTCAATAGGGAAGATGATGAGAATCCATTGGAATTGAAGATATCAGATAGCCTATTTTCAGATCAACCCAATTATTGATTTGAAGTTCTACAAAGCTCTTTTTGTTTGGGTTGGATCAACCATATACATGATTACCACCCTAGATTTTGGCCAGTGTCTTACTATATTGGTGATGTGCCATTTCAAAAGTTAAATTGTGCATTTGTAACCCACCAACAGGGGGTAGTGTTTGAAAGCAACCCATTCAGAAAAGCGACACTGCTGGCGCTGACTCCAAGTTGCCTTTAGCAATGGAACATCATCATTTGGGGGTTCCTAAAATGGGGGTACTCCAATAGCTGGATGGTTTATCATGGAAAATCCCATCTATAAATGGATGATAACTAGGGGTGTCCCAGCTATTTCAGGAAACCCCATTTGAGCATTTACGTTGCCATGTTTGATGGATGATGCACCGGGAATTTGGACTCACGGGGGCCCCTTGACAGGATGCCATTTGGGAAACACTCCATCAACGTGGAGAGGAGCGCCGGAGCAGTCATGGCGAATATAACGACCTCACGTCGCGACCAAACCCTGGAAATCATGGTTTATTTGAGGGAAATCATCCCCAAATGGCCGCAAGATTCAGGTTAGTGAAATATTATAATTTACCCATATATACTGTGGTGTTTTTATCATAGGTGAATAGTTGCTATAGGGTTATACATAATATATATATATATATACTATTCTATCGGGTCACCCCCACATATTTACATATATATTTGATGTAATTATAGTATATATAATATGTTATCCGGGTCACCCCCATATGTTTATATGTGTATATATATATATATATACTATCTTATCGGGTCACCCACACATACACATATATATATATACTTTAAACCCCACAACGCTTCCACTCAGCTATCACAGCAGCAACAGCAGCTGAATTGGGATTTGAGTGGATTTTTTCAAAAATTGGGATGATCGGGGTTCCTTAGAACGCTCGCTACCGGTAGTGAATTGGGGTTTGAATTGATTTTTTCTAAAATTGGGATGATCGGGGGCCCTTAGAACGCTCGCTACCGGTAGTGAGTGTTCTAAGAGGGAGCGACGGTCGCTCCCTGTTAGAACGCTCCCTAAGATAGATAGTGTTCTAACAGGGTGCGACGGTCGCTCCCTGTTAGAACGCTCGCTACCGGTAGTGAGTGTTCTAAGGGGGGGTTGGCAAACATCGGACCAGGGATGATCTTGTGTTTTCGCTGGGGTCTTAGTGAGAAGAACGCAAGATTGAGGGTGCTCCAGCGACAGGAAACCTCCCTTAGAACGCTATCTATCTTAAAAGCAGCAATTATACATATGGATGATTGGGGGGCCCTTAGAACGCTCGCTACCGGTAGTGAATGGGGAATTCTTTCAAAAATTGGGACGATTGGGGTTCCTTAGAACGCTCGCTACCGGTAGTGAATGGGGAATTCTTTCAAAAATTGGGATGATCGGGGTTCCTTAGAACGCTCGCTACCGGTAGTGAATGGGGAATTCTGTCAAGAATTGGGATGATGGGGATCAATTAGAACGCTCGCTACCGGTAGTGAATGGGTAATTCTGTCAAAATGGGTAATTTTTGAAAAAAGCCGGCTGTTGCTGCTGTGATAGCTGAGTGAAAGCGTTGTGGGGTTTAAAGTATATATATATATATGTGTGTATGTGTGGGTGACCCGATAAGATAGTATATATATATACACATATAAACATATGGGGGTGACCCGGATAACATATTATATATACTATAATTACATCAAATATATATGTAAATATGTGGGGGTGACCCGATAGAATAGTATATATATATATTATGTATAACCCTATAACAACTATTCACCTATGATAAAAACACCACAGTATATGTATATGATATATACACATAATTGTATATATATACCCTCTAGTTATTTGTTACAGTTTGCCATGGAAAGATCCACCATTTTTAAGTTCGGTAAACCATCTATTTCTATGGGCCATTCCCCATGGCTATGTTAAATTACCAGAGGGTATATATATATATATATGAAAAGATTCACGGCAAACCTGTTGCAGAGCTGTTGCTGTACGCGCTGTCTTTTCCTGTGTGTTGACAATAGGATAGGCTCAAGGCCTGGAGTTGAACCACATGTTGGTGCAAGCGCATCCATGTACATAAATGTACTATTGGGACATATTTTTTTTTTAACAATATATTTATATTTGAAATATATATATATATATATGTGTGTGTGTGTCTATATAATTTATATATATAAATACATTGTCAGAATGTCCACAGGCCATTTCGCCCTAGTGATTTGTTGACGATGAGGTTCACCATACCTCATTGAGGATTTATTATAACCTAATCATTTAGGGTTCAGCGACTTTTTTGGAAGGTACTGTCTTTGACCAACAAAAGAACGTAGATTTGTAGATTTTGACCAAACAAATAATCAAATATCAGATGCGGACCGTTTAGCCATGTGGGGCAAGATGTGGAGGTAGAAAACAAATTAAAGTATTAAATAAGTTCAGAGGCCCACAGTGCGACAATTGGTTGCGCAAGAACAACCGGAGGTAGCTGTCCTCTTTTGGTGTCCGAATGTTGTTCGTTTTTGCGACCCATTTCCTTTCATTTGGTGTCATGAATCCCATATGTGGTAAAATGGTTTGCAACCAGTATATCTGGTTGGTGGTTTCGAACATTTTTTTATTTTCCATAATATATGGGATAATACTTTTCAAGATGGTTAAAACCGCCAACCAGTTATGGTATATAGTACCTCCCGACCCCCCTAAAAGAAAGCATTTGACCATGATTTTAGTAGATTTCGCAAAAAATATATATCGTTCTTGGGGTTGTTATACTCTGAAACTTTGCGAGGTATGAAAAGCAAACCCAGTTCATCAAGAACAATGGAGATTTTTTTTCTTCACATAGACCTTGCATAGACCTTGCATTATGTTGTAAGGTGCCTTCAATTTAGGTACTTCACGGAGGCTCAAGTTAAACTGCAAAAATCAAAATTAAATTCCATTGTGGATGTGTTCCTTCAAACGCATGAGGGTGTTTATGTTTCGTAGCCGTGGCGTTGTGCTCTCAAAAAGATGCTTTTCCAGGAGTTTTGGCACAAGGCCGTCTTCAAAGAAGAGATGCGTCAGCTCGGCTGTGATCAGGGGAAACGGGATCTAACTATCATGTATATAACCCCTTCCCCTAATATTAAACATCCCCTTAGAAACCATTGTTTTTCGTAGGGAATTTCCATATATTTTTGGGACCATTTATGGGGTGTGTGATATTAGGGTGATGGGATTAGTTGGGAAGCTATTGATAAACTCCTCGGCTTCCCATTTCATATATGGATACCCATAGCTCAGGGGTTGAAGATATTGATCCTGTGGTAACCCAGGGGCAGTGAAATGTGTGTATAGTTGGAACATCAGCCAACAATTAGGTTCATCCACAGCACAGGACATGTGGGTACCAGATGGTACCAGTACCATCTAAGCGCACAAGATTGACGTCCCAAAATCAGCATTTTAGCAGGCAAAAACAATATTGAACGAAAACAAAACGTTTTGGTTTTTGGTAATCCAATGTGGGAATGCGAAATTTTGAGTGTGTGGTTACGATTGCCAGATAGTCTGCATCCATGTACTAAACAATCCGTCGGCTGAATCGATATTCTAAAATCCTGGTGAGTGGGTCCCTTTGGAGCATCGAACTGACACTATATCGTTAGACTCAAAAGATGATGACTTGTTTCATGGGGAAAGGACAGATTGCACGAAATCAAGTCTGGGTTTGTTGTATATATATATATATATAGTGACATAGTGTATATATTATAGCTTATTCAGATAACCTTCACCTGTATGAACAGGTTGGATGAGACGGATACGAGATGGAATGTGTCAGGACATGTTAACAGAGGACGAAAGATGGGTAGATGAACGCTATTGAATGTCTAAAGACTCTATAGAGAGCATTGTAGCTTCTAGGTTTCAAAAATCTAGCGTTTATGCCAGGGTTTTGTGCTTTTGCGCTGGGTTGGAACCACCAAAATAGACTCAGCAAGGGTCAGACTGTAAACACAGAAACCTTAGCAAACCAAGGCGAGGAAAGAACCATGGGGTTAATAGATGATGTTCCCAACTACTATGGCGGTGCTTTTATGAACACAATTCCACCAACGTTTTGGCACAGCTTCCCTGGGCAGTCGTTGCTTCCGCTGGAATCAAGGCGTTTTTCGTGCACCGGCGGATGGTTTAGAAGGCTTTTTGGCTCGTGTGAAGGACGGGATGAGGGGGAGCCTCACCGAATGGGACTGTTCAGCCGCTTTCAAGCATGACGCATGTTTGATACAACTTGGTTTCAACCATAGGTCGGATTCGTGATCCCAAGCATAGGATGCTGATCCCTTAAGCCACCAGTTTTTGCACATTCCTATCGGCACTGGCGGCATCCGCCACAGGACCATGTGCCAGCGGAGGACTGCACGGAACTCCCCTCCGACGCGCTGCCGGATGGGGAAGCGGCGCCTGGGTCGCGGTTCAGCAATTCATAAGAATTCATTGCCAACCCTGCAGAGGGCTTTCGTTCTGCATCTATTGAATATATTGCATGGTCTCCAGAGGGCGTGAATCGCGTCTCAGGGAACATTTGAGTTCATCTAATCGGAGAACCTTTGAGAATCTTTGAGTATCGCCAATTTGGAATCCTGGAAACATCCACCACTGGTTGGTGGTTTGGAACATTTTATTTTTCCATATATTGGGAATAATAATCCCAATTGACTAATATTTTTCAAGACGGTTCAAACCATCACCAACCAGTTTTTTATTTGTCCAGAATATATGGGATAATCATCCCAACTGACGAACTCATAATTTTTCAGAGGGGTAGGTCAACCACCAACCAGATGATTTCAAGATTTTTCAATCAGTTGCCAAGAGGGCCAAGGGGCAAAATGATGTGGCAGACTGGTTCCTCCTTCCTGAGGTGGTCCTGTTCTCCAGATTGGATCCTGGGCCTTCACTCATGGGCCTCAGTGCGCTTGGAGGGCCCAGCTAGACCCTCCTGGAAACATGTGGAGAATTGGTATACCATAACTGCCATAACTGCTAAGACATGCTAAAACATCTAAAACATGTGTGTTTTTCCCCACGGTATCCAGGTTTAGTATGGTTTAGCCATGACAGGAAAATTGCACTGGGCAAAAGAAACATGGAAGAATAAGGTGTTGGAACCCCATAGGGATCTACAACATGACTTGCCAACCTTGAACTCCGAGAATTGATTTGCACTACCAGCAACCCCTATGATCCAAGCTCCAAGCATTTTGCATTTCTCCACTCCGTTGATTGACCCCCCGATTGCAACTGCTGGTCTGAACTCAGGACGCTTATGAATTGCCGAAAGATGAGGCAGCACAAATCCGAGAGCCATGGCGGAGAGCGGACGGCTGAGTGAACCAGTCATGAAGTCCTGGGGAGATCACCACCAGGGTGTTCTGGGAAGCTGAAGCGGCTGAACCGAGCTAAAATGATGAACAAAATCATCAGCGAGGAATAAACTGATGAATTTGATATGAATCTGGTTGGTGGCTTCAAATTTTCAAACATGATTTGTTTTCCATCATATATGGGATAATCCTTCCCATTGACTAATATTTTTCAGAGGGGTTGAAACCACCAATCAGGAATGGTCCATCCTTTTCTTTTTGGTGCCATGCAATGAAGGAATCAAGTGATTTGGTGTTGCTCAAAATCCAAGTAAAAATTGTGCACACATCTTTGCAGGCAACCAAGGCCTAACGTTTTACCCTGACTTGTTCCATCGATCATTCAGCCAAGGTTTGACATGTTTTGACTTGTGTAGGTCAGCACTCCCAATCAGCACTTGGCAATTGAGCAGCACTTGTTGATGCATTTTTGTTTAATTATTTGAGGATTTCCACATTATGAGGGCGGAAAGCGTGAGACATGGATCATTGTCAATGGCAAAACGCCATATTGTTGGAGTCCCGGACTTATAGAACAAACGATTCGGATTCGAGCTGCAAAACACATGCCAAAACATACGTATCGAACATCCATGTTGAAACAGTTTGTACAGCACTAGTTGTTGGGAAGCGCCGCTGATCCCTCAGAAAGCGATATAGAATGATATAGATATAGATATAATAGATTGGGTCACAAGCACGCCTCTGTGCCTGTCAAAGCACGGCTTTGTGCCGAATCGTTTTCACAAGTTGTCTCTGATTGTCCCTGCTGAGGAAGCAAAATTTCATCAACAGGCAGGGCATTTGAGGACTTGTGGGCTGGGAAGGTGGTTCTGCATCAAGATTTGCAGAGATAGAACAAAGATATGATGGGTTGGTGGTTTCAAGCATTGTTTTTATGGATGTTCAACCAGCCCCCCAAGAGTGACACCCCCCCATTAACTAATGTGTGGGCTTATTGAACTGTTAACCACCAAAAACCGCTTCAAGAACCACTTCAAGACACGGAAGGGGGGCTGAAGCCAAGAAGGAGATGATGGGATATATATATATATATATTAAATTATGGGGATATATGATATATGATGTAACATTAGGATGAATTACTCTCCGGTAATTTAACATAGCTATTGAAAATGGCCCAGTCGAAATTCAAAATGGTGATTTTCCATAGTTATGTAAACGTTTAGCAGAGGGTAAGTTTGGTTTACCACTATAGTTTAGAATTACCATCCGGTGATCAGAGGGGTAGCTCAACCACCAACCAGATAAGGATGAATTTTATTGACCTCATGTCCTGACGTCACTGGAATGATGGTTAGGCCACAGCTCTTCACACCACTCCGGGGGCCACGGGTGACGTGGACACCGTGCACACTGTGACGCCAGCGGCTGGCTACGCGGAGATCCCCGTGGATCCAGCGCCAACTAGGTCAAGTGCCTGGGGCGAATTCCACAGAGGTTGTGACTTTCAAGTCATTTGGCCAAGGAATATTGGAACATACCCTCTGGTAAACATACAAAAAACTATGGAAAATCACCATGCTATTAATGGGTAAATCCATGGGTACTCTACTGGGTCAATCTTACATGGGTACTCTAATCCTTTAGTCTTTTGGTATCAATGGGAATATCTACTAACCAGCATTTTTTTGGCAGGGTATCTAAGATTGGCAATGTCAAGTCATTGGGCCAAGGAATTGGAACATAATTATAGTAACCCCCCATTTTTTGGGTGCTTTATGGCATTGTTTTACCCACATTATTGGGAAGATATTGGGAATGAACATCTAACTTACCCACATAGTCTGGTTGGTGGTTTGGAACATGAATTTGATGACTTTCCATATGTTGGGAATGTCATCATCCCAACTGACGAAGTCATATTTTTCAGAGGGGTAGGTCAACCACTAACCAGTTATAGTAACCCCCAAAGATCGAAACATGAATCTTCACCAATTCAAAGGGGAATTTGGTTTATCTATTTTTCGGGGGATGACTATATACTAATTAATGTAAATATTTATCTAGTACTGGCCAGCTAAATTAGTATTGGCTAAAATATCTAGATGTGCATTTTTTTTTACGTATCTAAGATTGGTCACCCACTACTTGGATGAACCTTCCCATCAAGGACTGTTTGGGGACTAAGCATTGTGGGCCATAATTGGGAATGCAGATGCAGCAGTTTTAGTCAAGCCCATACATGGGATGTATACCATGTGATAATTCCAGCGGAGTTTTTTAACCTTGGCCACTTACTAAGCAGGGTGGTCACTAGCTTAATGCCTGCTAGGAAATCCTAGTGGAGATTTATAGCTGGGAAAATCATCCAGGGATCGGACGATATCGGACGCCGGTAGTTACAGAAAGAACGGCGTCATGAGGCGTTTCGGTAAACCTGATATATTTTGCACAATAAACAATCCCCAATTATCTTCAGTTGGTGTTTGTGATTGGATATGCTTGTTTTCTCATATCTTTCCAGTGGTTAGGAGGATCCAGATTTCCGACTTTGAATGACTTTGAATGGGGAGCCAGGTGGAGCTACCGGTCGAGTTTCCCACATGAGTGTTCTCGTGCTAGCCACATAAAGGTTCCCAGATTTTGGGCCTGAACATGATTGAGACCTGTTCGCAGGGGAGTTTGGTGCGATAACTGTTGGTTGAGCTACCAATCTTTGATGGTGACATCACTGCCTGTTTGCTGCTAAAATCCCAATAATTGTTTGATGGCCATTTATGTCCATTTATTTTAATTCCAACTCTTATTACATTATCTGGGTAAATTATAATTCACAAATGGCTTCAGTTCAGGTTAGTGAAATAATGTGAAATATTATAATTTACCCAGATTATGTTATATACATTGTTTTTGATGATGGTTGATTTTTTAATTGCTGAAACCGGTCACGGCTGCTGAATTCCTCATTTTGAATGAGGACATTTGGTCCACTCGACCTACTCCAGTGCCGTGGAGGGCTACGTGGACCAAAAACAGAAGCCTTTGGCTGGGACCGAAGCCTTTGGCTGGGATGATGTGGTGGTACTGACCAGCACCGTGGCCATTGGCTTTTCACTTGGTGTCTGAAAATGGGATAAATCCATGAATATCCATGAATCGTATTTGATACCCTCTGGTAAACTGGTAAACATACAAAAAACGATGGAACATCACCATTTTTCATGGGTCAATCCACTATTTCTGCCATTTTCTATGTCGCTTTTTGTATGTTTACTAGAGGGTATCTGTGTTTTAGTCGTTGAGCTTTGTTGGCCTGGAAAATCTGTGGATCGAAATGGCTGAGTGTCCAGGGCCAACATTTCTGGAATGATTGTGCCCACACCTATAACATCAACTCGCAGCTTTTGTAAATAACTGGTTACGTGGTTTGGAACATGTTTTATTTTTCCATATATTGGGAATGTCATCATCCCAACTGACGAAGTCATATTTTTCAGAAGGGTAGGTATACCACCAACCAGATAAAATATTATCAGCTGTATTAAATTGGATTGGCCTGCCTCCCCTCCATAGTCCTCATCGTCAACTTCAACATCATCCCCCTCCCCAGTTAGAAGTTGCTTTACAAAACCCCGTTAAATATATGTAGTTACATCTGCCATAAACCCTAGTCAACTACGTTATAAACCAACTTTGCTTGAATACGCCTCTGCTCAATCGAGGCACTGGCAAGACTTATCAAGACATGCTCAAACTGCGCCTGAAATTCTCTCCCCGCGACTTCAACGTGAATCGTTGGCTCATTGATCATGTTCACTACAAACAACGGAAAACAACAGATTTCATCAACGATGCTTGTCTGAAATAGATTGACAATGATTGACATAACTTGTTGGTCAAAAAAATGCTGAGTCACCTTCAGATTTTCTCAGTAACAGGGGAACATGACGGAATACTGAGGCAGTTGGGGTGTGTCGGTTTCGAGGTGGGTTGATATTGTGTTTGACTCAGTTTTTATTTAACCAACAGGTGGTGATGAAAATGGTGCACCGAATCCGCAGGCCTTGTTGACATTTCAAATTACGAAGGTGTGTTGGAACATATTTTCTTACCCATATGCTCCATGTATGGTATATTTACCTACATTTGCCCTAAAAATCACCCACATGTAGGTAAATATACCATACATGGAGCATATGGGTTATGATTGACTATTTTTTTTTGCTAAGTTGGCTAGAACCCCCAGTAGTGTAACTATAGCCAGACTATCACCTCCCCATAAATCCCAGTTAACAGTTAACCATAGTTAACCCAGTTATTTGCATCAACTTAACTATAAGTAATTAAGGGTCTCCGCCTTCTAGTTATCCTTTGGCAAATTAACTACATAACACCTGAAAATCACCATTCCTTTTATTGGAAACTAATCTTCCAAGCCCTATTTGGCAGGGTCTATGTTGATTTACTGGAGGGTATGATAATCCGTGGGCTTTAACCATCAAGATTTTCATAGGAACTTTTAGGGTGATGTCATAGATGTTCACAGTGATTTAGCGGGAGTTTATTTTTTACCATCCCGGATCCGACTCTTCCATAACCAAAAATCGGTCCAAAGGATTTTCGAAGACCATCTCCTTTGCGGACTCCGAGTCCGTGGCCAGTTTCGTGGCACAGAATGAGTTCTTCAACAACGAGGCGCGGTTTCACCGCCGGAAGCCGAGTTGTGACCTCCGGTGGCTGCTGTACGCGCAGCATTTGTTCATCAATTGGTGAATTAAAAACACATTGATGGTTTTATTATGGAAAATCACCATGTTTAATGGGAAAATCCACTATTTCTATGGCAATTTTCAATAGCTATGTTAGTTTACCAGAGGGTATAGACTATAGTGGAAATAGTCCCATGGCTGGGGACTACCAACTAATAACTGTGACTTATGGCTGGGCCACTAACATTGTCTGAGCTACCAATAGCAACTGGTTGCTGGTTTCAAACATGGCTGTTATTTTCCATTTCATATATGGGATGTCATCCTTCCCATTGACGAACTCATATTTTTCAAGATGGTTATTGCACCACCAACCAGTAAAGCAATATAACGCATAGAATTTCATAGATTTCATAGGGTGGTGGATAAAACCATGATAAAACACAGATGTTCACAGGGTTTTTAGATGGGTAAAGCATGAAACTTGTTCCGTGAATGATGTTCTGCCCGGTAGATTCTTATGATTAAAACCCCCCCGGCTCCGCAAGGTGGCGCAGCGGAGTGGTTTGAGCGGTGTCTTCATCGCGGTGGCGACGCTGGGGTGCAGTAAAGTTAACTATAAGGGGATTTATAAAATGGTAGATATGATATAACTATAGTTAACCATATCAACCTCCATTTATAGTGGGGAAACTTAAACCCCTGTTGCAGGTTTATGGTAGATTTAATTATATGTATATATTATATAACTATAGTTAATGGGGCTTATATTGGTTTCTACTGGGTTATAAACCAACTTATAATTGGGGGGGCCTATCCTGTATGCTGCTGAATTTGATTACGACTTCACTGCATCATTGCGACTTCACTGAAATGACTGACATGATGGTCAGTTGGGGGGCACTATTTCGGGGATTATCATGATAAAGTGATCAAAAGTGGGAAATAGGAATGGATGATAATAGATGGGTTTTTATTGAACATAGACCACCCCAAAATCCCATTTGTTATAACCATGGTAGGTCACTTCATGGTTATCGAACTGTAGCCCAAACCTTTTCGTGATTCAACCCATTTAGCCAGCCACAAATAGGAATATCAACAGGAAATCCAGCTGACAAACCTTGATCGATGGTCTTCGGGATGGCAAAACCCATCGTCGAAAAATCCTCCCAGATTCTGCCAATGTACACCAAGTCCATGATCCTATGATGCTTAAAGTCTTTGATTGAATTCCTTAAAGTCCAACGATTTCCATATTGTTTGATGCCTACACCCCGTACCCTCTGGTAAACTAACATAACTATGGAAAATCACCATTTTTAATAGCAAACTGTTAAATTACCAGAGGGTAAGTGACATGACAGGTCAGAATTGCAATGTCCAAAATCGAAAATCCTCAACGACCTGCGGGGGCCAAGGTAAATTTAGAGGGCGTATGTGTCAATATGATGAAAGGAAAGAGGCAAGCTGGGATGCAGTTTGCACTGGCATCATTTCTTACTGAGACCTTGGTTTTCTGTATGTGTTGTTTGTGTTTTTTTCTCTGAAGGGTAATTGTCCAGTGTACCTCCAATATATGTACATGTATATGTTAAAATTGTTGATTGACCCCACCCATTTTTTTTGATTACCCTCCGGTAATCAAGCATGTCAGTGGAAAATCACCCATTTATATACAGATTATGTTCCAATTAAGACCTCCTTTTATAGGGGATTTAACATTGCCACTTTTGATTACCGGAGGGTATGTCCGTTATTTCCCATTATTCTCGGTGAATTATGATGACCTCACGTCATGTCACGTCGTGAAACAGCTATTTTCAGGTTAGTGCACAATTATGATTCAGCCAAAATCCCTGATATCCCTATTAATTATTTTTGTACTTATATATATATATATATATGTATATCCCATTTTCTCCACCATTGATTGATATAATACATGTGGTAAAATGATATACATATGGGTTAGACAAAAACGTATAAATACGTATATAACATATATATATATAGGTTACTTTAACAAAATTATGTGTATTAGATGTCTCCATCCCTGTTAAGTTTATATTTATATGTCTCAAGTCTTTTCCCATAGATTTCATGATTTGATTAAATGGTCAAATTGCCCAGGAACAATGGCGCTTTCTTTCGCAGCGCTCAGTCGCGACGGGAGCTCAACTATTGGTTGCCAGGGCTCAATGCAGGCGCCGGGGGCAACGCAACGACGTTCACTGGTAAACGTTTTTTTGTTGGGGCGACAACTGGATTAAACATATATATATATATATACTGTATATTATATACATATACAAATAGAATCTACATATGTAAATCCTAAGTTTGGGGTTTGACATGGATCCAGTTTTTAATCTGAGCAGGCTTATGGTCCCGTCGCAGCCTTTTGGTGGCAAGGCATTCCCTTCGTGGCGAAAAAGGATCCAATCCATGAGATCACCTTCACGGCCCACGACTTCGGGTTCCTTGGTGAGACTGGCACGCCTGGAAGGGCCTGCAAGGGCACGTATATCCATAACTAAGTTGGTGCTTAAATAAGTCCAATAACTGCCTAGGGTTGGTGATGGTTGATTCGGGGGTTATTAATCGAACTAGTTAATGGGGGTTATAAGTTATAGATTTATAAACCAACTTATAACTGGGGGCCAGCACCTTGTGTGGCGAATTTCGTGGGCTACAGATGAATTATCCACAGGGTGGATGATGTTTCTTGATTTGTAAAGCCAATGAAGTGTAGATATTTCATGATATATCTACCATAAACTGGACTTAAGTGACTTAAGCTACTTACCAACTTTGGATAACTTTGGTAACTCTCAAACACCACCTTTCAGGGAGCGGCTGATTCTTTTAGGTGTTGGAGATGTGTAAAGCCAGTGCCATAAACCATAATAGTCCCAGACATAGGTTGCATACCCAACTTGTAGGATGCTCCTGTTTAAGTGTTGTGGATAGGGTACACGTTCCATTGTTTGGGATGTTCAACTCCCATCATGGATCAGTATGCCAATTTTGGGCGGTTTTGCCATGTTTTGCCTCCACGTGTGGTTTGTGGTCCCTTCATGTTTGTGGGATTTTTGCGGGCTGGCGCTTGCTTATCAAGTTTGGCTGGCTGTATCCGATACTGTATCCTATCGTTGCTGGTCAATCGCGACTTGGTCAAGCATGTTTTGATTTTTCCATCCCGACGTAAGAACGATGTTTGATGCTTGGATTGATGGTCACTATTTTCGGAGGTTGACAAACATCCCCCCAGAGTACACTACCCGCTTAGACAAGGCCAGTCGCATCCAGTCACTGATCGGTCACCAAGTCCTCATTCCTTGTTGGTCCCATCTGTACATGGGGTGCGGTGGCGCAGGGAGTTTCGCACCTCATGTTGTGGTCAATGCGCTTGACAACTCATGAATCAGGGGTCGTTCGGGGGTCGTTCAGGGGTTCACTCAGTCTTACTCCTTCTCAAATCAAACCATTGTGGCAGAATGATTGTTTGTAATGCAAAGCAGTGCTGGCAGAAGAGTAGTCTGCAGTGCGAGGGGTGGGCTCTCTCGTGTTTGTTATAATGGTACTTTGTACCCTTCAAATGAAGGCAATCCCCTTGTGTTTTGATGGATTGCTGTGACCCTGCTGTGACCCGGTCGTGGCGACTTTTCCGCAAGCGGTTTGTCCACATTCAAGAAAATTGCTCTGACTTCAGCCCTCGACTGTACCTTACCGGAGACCGGGGGAAACCACTCACGGCGAAGAGTCGAGTGGCCGCTCCAACTGAGGCATTTTCTCATTCCAGATTTGGTCTTCACTGGCAATACCTCCATCAATGCCAGGTCCTGGATATATTGGATATCGAGCGGTAACTGGGAACTCCTTGGGCTTGAAACAACAGAAAGACACCCAGAAAAGGATGGTTTGTAAATGGTTTTTCCATCTTGTCCTATTGTGTTTTTTTTATACTACATGGGATGGGTATCCATGTATCCCATATTCAGACATATCTGTATTGGGTCATTATATGTCAGCACCAATTAGCATCAACCCTCCGGCAATTTTCAATTTACAAAGAGGGTGCGGCTGCAGTTGACATGTGGCAGTAGGTGCTTGGTGGGAGAATAGACAGGCAAACCACAAAAACATTGGATGGCAAAACCGAACGTACCATTTCCTCAACATTTCCCCCTGAAATCACTTTGTTGTGTTCCAAGCATTCTTGATGTTTCAGACTTGGCTATGGATCAATACCTATTAATACCATTTTTAGTGGGATGAACATCCATTTACCAGCTATTTTGATGTTCACCAGGGGTACTATTGGTTTGACACACTGCCATTTGTTTTCGAAACCGGGGCCCTCAGACGATCTCAGACGCACCTACATCATCTACCGGATGATGTCGGAAGCAACGACCATGGTGTTTCTTGGCTGAAAAAAGTAACGCCTGTGTGACGTTTGAAACTCCTGAAACTCCAGCCATCTTTGTTGACGTTAAAGAGCAAGAAAACTGAGTATATCCTTGTGATTCAATGAGATGCATATTCTATGTAGATATGATATATCATTGTCATTATATCCGGATGAATTAGTCCAGAACCAGATAAGGTCGGGCGGAAAAAAATGGCAACTCACGTCGTGACGTTGAATGATGGGATTCTCCGAACCAGCCCCAAATCGATTCAGTTTTGGCCTTATGATGACAGCTATTTCCGCGTCATTGAATTATGATATTTGGTTGTGCAATTGACGTTTTTACAATGGTTTACCACAACGTGGGGATATCTACAAACAGACTCTATACTTTTTAGTAGTTTCACATACTGTTGGCAACTCATCTATTTGTAGATGCTTTTTTTTTCCACGACTATTTTCCATGGCTATGTTCAATTACCAGAGAGGGCCAGAGGGTAAACAATTTTCAATATTATACACTATTAACTACAGTATTACATATGTATTATTTTAATATGATATATACATATCACATATACATATTACATATACATATTACATATGCATATACATATACATGCATATATTTATATATATATATATGCATGTTGTACCACTATGCACACATATCTAAATATATATATATATATATGTTTGTATGTATGTATATATACATATATATATATATATATCAACGATTCTCAGTCATACAAGACAGTTAACTTCCCATTTTCAGAGGGGGATTGAACATTTTCAGAGTCAGACTTCTTACCGGCCTTTGGCCTTCGGCCCCAGGTTTGCAGACATGCTCTTTGTGGAGACCCTGCGGCTCTCCGGCTATTCATATGAGTGGAGCAAGCGGAAGATCCATCCTTTGTTTCAAGAGACAGGTAAGGATTGCTCCGGGACTCCGGGATGTGAGGATGGTGAGGCCACATTTGATATCATATCTCCATCGACCAACAGATGGATGGATGGCTGGCTGGCTGGATGGATGGATAGATGGATGGATAGATGGATGGATGGATGGATGGATGGATGCTACACACACACATATATATATATATATATATGTGTGGTGTGTGTGTGTGTATTGTATGTATGTATATATATATACACACTATTTTATACACCACCACAGCCCCCCCCAAAAAACAACTATGGATGGCTGAACAAACTAACCATGGTTTGCCTCCAGTCTCCTCAACTGCAAATCACCGGGGATCTCCAGGTTTTTTTCACCTTGATCAGCTACGAAAGTAGATCATTGGTCATTTTTACTATTGACCATTGGAGAAATAACCACCAACTATTGGACATATCCACCAGCTATTAATATTTACATAGCAATGATTGTGATTTCCATGTCGTTCACCATTGGTTTTTGTGAGATCATAAACCGTAGCTGTGCGGCAGGTTTGAAGCCCTTTGACGGGGACCGGCAACACTTCTTCAGCGAAATGCGGAAGCTGTTGGAAGCTAATGTGGAGCAGCTGAGCGAAAAGAATACGAGACCCACAAAAACAAGGAGTTACCCTCTGGATCCCTCTGGTAAACTAACAGGTCGCGCCGCCCTTGGGCAACTGGTGTTTTTTGGTGCCTTTTGTTCATTGCGCCTTGTGCACTTTTGTTCTTGCGCCATGATCAGCGAGCGTTGCAAGCTTTGGCCAATTGTTTGAGAAAGTGCATAAATATAAACAAGAAGATATGTACATATGTATGTAATAGTGAAAATAAATGTATATGTATGCACATGTTTATATACAAATATAATATATGTATCTAAATGTGATTTTCATTGTGTATTATTGTGTATAGATATATATATATATAACCCAGGCAACCCCGAAGTTCACGAAGCAGACGTGACGTGAGCAAGTTCACAGGGACGTTAACATCCACCCACCCACCCAAACCCCGAAGTTCACGAAGCATACATGACGCGAGCAAGTTCACAGGGACGTTAACCCAACCCAAACTCCGAAGTTCACGAAGCATACATGACGTGAGCAAGTTCACAGGGCCGATAACATCCCCCCCACCCCACCCAAACCCCTAAGTTCACGAAGCATACATGGCGTAAGCAAGTTCACGGGGACTTTAACATCCCCCCCCACCCCACCCAAACCCCGAAGTTCACGAAGCATACATGACGTGAGCAAGTTCACAGGGACGTTAACATCCCCCTCCCCACCCCAACCCTAAAAACAACAAACAAAAAGGTTTCGTGACCAGTTGCCTGGGGGCGGCGTTGGGAACTAACATAGCTATTTCAAATGGCCTCTGATAGTGGATTTACCCATTAAAAATTGTGATTTTCCATAGTTATGTTAGTTTACAAGGGGGTAATTGTCATCAATGAATCAATTGGGATTTCTTTAACCCATTATACTTGAGGTCATTCACTTGTTATTCATGGTTATTAATGGATATTTATGGCTATTAATGGCTGATGTGGTAAACACAGAAATCAAATTCGGCGATGCCAGAGGGATGGCAGCCATTGTCACCTTCGAGGATTTGGCTGGAGCAATCCGCGCCACAGGGGGATTGGTTATCCCTCCAGAATTCGGCTATACCGGAAGTTCACCCATGTTGGTCCGTTCCCACATGGTGAGTGAATTGGAGAAAACGGACGCTGCCCAGCGCTCATGCGAGCTCTTCAGAGGGTCGCTCATAAGCCACCTGATTGGCCCTAAAAAGGCCGCAGCTCTCATTGATGTGGCTGCTGCCATAGGCTTAAGGTGGCAGCAGGAGGTGGTACAGGCGGAGGTGCCTTCTCCTCGGCACGAGCAGCGGAGAACTCAACACCCTGGGTTTGTTGTTCGTTGACGAACTCCGCATGCGGTGGGAATGGCAACTTGAGCGCCTCAGAGAATGCAAATCTCAACCTTCACCTTTTTGAAATCCTTGACAAGTTCAAATACTAGAAATGGAGGTTGAGGTTTAAGTTTAGAGCTGGGACAATCATCTATCGAGGGTGGATTTCCATTGCCATGTTTGATTACTGGAGGGTGTATAGATTTAATCACCGAAGGTAGGATTTAGCCAGGAAAAGGAAGAAAAAACATAGACAATTCAGGTGAATAATTTCTGAGCCTAACAAATGCAGATGTCAATTGAGAACTATTTAATTATTCCTGTTTCAAGTCTTAAGAAAGCCTTGTACGCACATAGATAGACAGATAGATAGGTAGATAGATAGGTAGGTAGATAGATATATGACGACAATGTACGTATTGAGGGGTCGTGAAAACTTCGCCAAAAGTCCAGGAAAATGGGACTAGCCTCCATAGTGAAGATGTGTGAAGATATACCCTCTGGTTATTTAACATAGCCATGGAAAATCACCATGTTCAATAGGTAAACCATCTATAAATGGGCCATTTCCCATGGCTATGTTAAATAACCGGAGGGTAGAACATGATTCACAAAAGGCCAAGTTGGCGAAGTGACACAGCCATTGATATGTTGAACGAAGATTTCACGCCCCGAAAGTGGCCCTCTTGGCTTTTTGTGTTCTTATTAGTAGCTAGTGTTAGGATGTAGGCAGCATTTGTTGTTCAAGCAAGTACTTGGTGGTTCACCCAGTTCATCCCGGTTCTACATGGAAACACCCATCATCCCGCTGTTCGTAATGTAGGGATTTTGTATCCCATGAACTAGGATGGACCACCATGAAGTCATGAAGAAACGTGGAATTACCCAGGAGCCAGCGACTTTTTTTCCCCACCTGGCGCCTGGGAAACTCAGCATCTTCCAGCCTTAGGTACTGCCTGATGGGATCCACGAAGAAATATTTGGAGCTGATCAAGCAACACAAGGGTGAGGCGGAAGATTCCAGTCAAGTGCTTGATGAGCCTTGGCCGCGTCAAACGCGTCGCTTCGTGCTGACTTTGGGCGGGAATCAAAAAATACCTGGTTTTGATGATCTTTGATTATAGATGGTTATAGGGTGATGTGAATGTTCACGAGAAAAAGGACACCATTCTTGGGTGAATGATACCCTCTGGATCCCTCTGGTAATGACTAACATAACTATGGAACATCATCATTTATAGCGAGTTTTCCCATGAAACATGGTGATTTTCCATAGTTTTTTGTATGGTTACCAGAGGGTAACAGTCTCTCACTTCGCCCTTCGGTCACGGGAACGATTTGGATTGGGCTAGCTATCCCAAAAAATTGCCCAACTCTTCAGGCGCCGGTGGTTTGGAACATGTTTTATTTTTCCATGTGCCCTCTGGTAATTTAACATAGCAATGGAAAATGGCCCATTTATAGATGGTTTACCTATCAAAAATGGTGATTTTCCATTGCTATGTTAGTTCACCAGAGGGTATTGGGAATGTCATCATCCCAACTGACGAACTCATATTTTTCAGAGGGGTAGGTATACCACCAAACAGATAGTGTCTTTTTTGGTTTATTCATAGGCAGGTGTTCAAAAATGTTATTTTGGTTCCTGGTGTCCAGGACAAGGATCTGGAAACAAAACTGGATTGAAACCATTCCAGGTTGGGCATGTTGCGCCTGCTGAACTGCCTTTGAGACCCTCAACCGTCCTGCCTGATCCTAACAGGTGGTAAAAAAAAATGTTACGCTTTTTGGGCGTAACTGATGGTTGTCCCAGAATCAGAATTGGCCTATGATTGTCCCCCTTTTTGGGTTCCAACGGTGGCTTGCCCTTGCCATGTTGGAATACCAGGACAACTTGCACATAAAAAAACGCCGGAACTATATTTCACACCATTTCTGGTGACCGCGATTTTATATGTATCTATATATACATATATGTGTAAATATATATATATATATATATAGAGATGCAAGTCCCAATTATGGGAGGTTAAGTTTATGATTTAACTTTCAAGTCACAGCTGGTAGTGATAAAGTACCAACTTTTAGTGGTTAAGGCCACTATTTTTTTTTTTAAGATCACCATTCTGCCGGAGAACCCCATGAAATCCCATGCGTCTAAGGACTTCAAAGCCAAGTACATGCCGTTCTTTGTGGAAGACTATCGTTGCTTGACACAGGATGATGACAGTGGCAACCAGCATTGCTGGTTGCTCCTCCGAACCAATAGCAACATATTTAATGAGATTTCCGGACAACACAATTTATGGCAACCTTTCAAGTACATCCCAGTAGTTCCAATTTATCCCTGTCAGGATGTTCAACACGGCGTTACTGTACCACCCAGTTGTTTGGATCCATGCTTTGCAGAAACTGAAACTCTTTACCTGGGTGTGTTGTTTATGGAACACCATCATTGGAAACCATGGGTTTTCCCATCAAAAAAAATCAACGTAGGGTTTTCATGGATTTTCCATGGATTTTCCCATCTGGGTGTTGCCTGAAATGGTGGTACCCCAAAATCATCTAAACTTAGGCCAGAGAGAGTATTGAAATCTATGGTATCTATGGTTTTGGGGTATCCCCATTTTAGGAATCCTCCATCTATATATTGCATAAATAAATAAACACACACATATATATATATATATATACATAATTCATTAGGTTCAAAAATTGTAAAAAATGGATGTTGCCTGGGCTTTCTTGTCAAAACCTGTCCCAAACCTTTACCCGACGGAAGCCGACGAACAACACCACCCACCTGGAAATTGTGCAGGTTGGACTTCTGCAAATTTCCAGCCGCTGGCTTCGATGGCAGCCGACTAGGGGTGGTTGGGATCCCGATTTTTCCATTGATTTTCCTATGTTTTTTTGATAGAGGTCTAATGGAAAATGTGGAGAAACCTTGCAAATTGTGTTTTTCCCCACCTGCCAGGTGAGGGTTGTTAGATTTTATGTCAGTTGCCTCCTCCTCCTCCTCCTCCTCCTGCCTCGTCCTCCTCTCCTCCTCCTCCTCGTCCTCCTTGTCATCCTTGTCGTCCTTGTCGTCCTCGTCGTCCTCGTCGTCCTCGTCCAACTGCGACCCGCGATCCACAGTGTTCTCTGCCGGACCTCAACCACGACCATCCACGCCCAGTGTTCCCTGCCGGACCTCAACCACGACCATCCACGCCCAGTGTTCCCTGCCGGACCTCAACCGCGAGTATCCACGCCAAGTGTTCCCTGCCGGACCTCATGTAGGAAGATATGGGACAAAGAATGTGCAGAAGAAAGTTAGAAAGAATGTCAGAAAGAATGTCAGAAGATATGCCAGAAGATATGCCAGATAGAATGCCAAATAGAATGCCAGATAGAATGCCAGATAGAATGCCAGAAGATATGTCAGAATATATGCCAGATATGCCAGATAGAATGCCAGATAATATGCCAGAAGATATGCCAGATAGAATGCCAGATAGAATGCCAGAAGATTTGCCAGATAGAATGCCAGAAAATATGCCAGAAGATATGCCAGATAGATATGTCAGAAGATATGCCAGAAGATATGCCAGAAGATATGCCAGAAGATATGTCAGAATATATGCCAGAAGATATGTCAGATAGAATGCCAGAAGATATGTCAGAATATATGCCAGAAGATATGCCAGATAGAATGCCAGATTGAATGCCAGAAGATATGTCAGATAGAGTGCCAGAAGATATGCCAGATAGAATGCCAGAAGATTTGCCAGTAAGAAAATGTATAAATGTCATGGTGGGGATCACACGAAGTAAAGTAATTTGATTTCCTGATTTGGGGTTACACTTCCCAAAATTTTGAAATATGGAAGCACTAAGTTCAACATTGGCTCTGTATGATCATTTTCCGAACTTGAATATAGCCAGTATTGGCTTCTATGTTAGATTTAGGGGTTGTAACCTCCAAGAAAGAGCGGGACCTAAGCAAACCAAATTTGGATTTGGCTAATCCAACCAATCAAAAATGTGTCCATTAAGATATACTTAACAAAGAAATTATATTGGATTTTGGCAACGCAAATGATGAATTAACTCCACTTTTGTTGGCTATGATTGTGGGCTTTGGGTAAAACAAGATCCTGTCAGGAACCATGAACAAAAAGCAAAGGAAATGCGGGAAATCCAATGATTTCGGCCCTTGAGCAGGTCAATAGCCTCGATGATGGTTCTTGACCCTGCTCATTTTCGTCTACGAAGTGTCTACGAATCACTTCCCAGCATGGCAAGTGATAGCAGGTCCCAATTTTCAATTGTTTTATTCCTAGACTATACAAATCTCAGAATGGTTCTGAAAATCAGCAGGAAACGCATTTTTTTGGGCAAAAACATTGGTTTCTCATGGATTCCCATGGGTTCCTGTCGAATTTTCCCAGCACCTCCAGTCCATCCCAAGCCGCGTCCAGGAACATGGCGCAGCGCGCAGAGGAGTACCAGCGCTGGTGGCAGATTGCGGCGCCCGTGGTGCAGGCTGGACGTCTGGATGGCATGGACAACGGCATCGGTCACATGGCAGTGGAGGTGGTGATGGTACAATGTGGGGCCCCTTAGTTGGATAGCTAAGTTGGTTATAACATGTTAGAACTCCGTATGGAGGTTTCCATAAATGGGGGTACCCCAAAATGGACGGTTTACAATGGAAAATCCTATTTAAAATGGAAATATTTGGTGGTACCCCCATTTTAGGAAACCACCATATAACTCCAATAACTATTATGGTTTATGAATGTTTATGAAACTTATGACGAGCTAGTTAATGGGGGTTTGAACCAACTTAGCTATCTACCGGGGGCCCCATATTGTAGAAAACTTCAAAAAGTTTCAACTGTAAGTAAGGCAAACCAGTCCGAACTTCCCAAAGTAGGGGTACGTTGGAGTGGGAATCAAACGAGCCATTGGACAAAGTATATTTCATTTCGCTGGTGGTTTTTCAGTACTTGCTCACATTCAAAATGATGTTCAAAAATGGAAGGATCACTGGCCATCTCAGGAACCGATTCATTGGAGGTACCTACCATATATAAGGCCTAAATTTCAGGGAATATCCCATTGAAAGGATCCCACTTAACGAGAACACCTTGGGTATCTTGGGTGGCTCAAGGGCCCAGATGTGAGCTCACCGGCCCAGGTTTGGAAACAGCATCTCGGTTGAAAGCCTGGAGGACGGACTGCAAATAAAAAAACACGTTGAGGCACCCCTGTGTTCATAGTTACTATAGTTAATCTATAAGTTATTGTACATAGTATATAATTTTCTTAGGGTTTTCTTTGTGTATATGATTATATTATATTACATATATATCTATATCAGTAACACACGCACATATATATATATATATGTATATACGTGTGTGTGTGTGTGTGTGGGTTGGTTTGCTGGTTCTTATGTTCTTTACCTCAGTCTCATCCACATGGATTACTGTACATTGTGCATTTATGCCTCGCTGCTACCGATCCCAAAGGTGGATGATCACATGGCAGCCATTGGTGTCAGCTCAGATGCCTGGCATGTGACGGCGGGAAACTGGACTTCACCCGTCTGACCACTCGAACATAGGCTACCCACCGAATTCCAAGGGACCATAAATGACTTCATAGCGGGGAATTTTGGGGTATGCCACAGGGTATACCCCGTTTCTGGACAAACCGTAGGGGATGCAAGTTCATTTCTGGATATTACTGGAGGACAAGATTGGCTAGTGAAACTGCAAATTATACTATTAGGATCCATTAGGCTGATATAATGTTGACCATGTAACCCGATATATAATGTTCTAAGAATACTGGGGAGTTATCTATGTTCGCCCCGGCTCTTCCTTATTCATAGATATGTCCATTGCCCAAAGTTCAAATATCCCCCAGAAACCCTGGTTAAGTAATGTTAAGTATCAGTAAATAAATAAATAAATAGAAATATATATATATATGGGTTTTGTTCCTGTTGGTGGCCCATATGCCCATATCAGATGCCATATCATATAGAAAAAACTATTGTAATGTGTTGGATGAATTGTTTCTGACATGACGTCACCATACATGATGGTCAGTAATGGGAACACGGCCACAATCACCTACTTCATGTGTGATTCAGCCATCCTAGACACACATATATATATATATATATACACATAATAATGATTTTATATTTATTCATTTATGTATACAGTCAACACCTAGATTGAACAACTGCAGTTGAAATCCGAGAGTTCCTATAATAGTAAGTTCTTTCAAGTTTTCGTTTCTGAATTCAGAGGTGGTTTCATCAGCTGCCACAAAAGAAATCAGCTGGTTCAAAGTTACGAGCTGAGGACGGTCCAGCGTGCCCTGCAGAAGAGTTGATTCCCAAAATTTTTCAGCGCGTTTTCGCCGCTCGCCGGGGTGGTCGTAACGACATGTTCCGCTGTTTTGATTGCGCCATGATCAAGCTCGGGAGTGCTGTCATGGATGTGGGGTTCCAATGTTATTTATTTAGGGTGGTACAGAAGGGTGCCCAAAAAATAATTCAAACTCGTTTGCAATTAATATAAGTCTTATTTGTTGAATTTCCCCCTATAGACATGACCCATAGGATCCATGTAGAGTATATATGCTAACATTTGGGGTATATTGATGGTAAATGTTGCCATATATAGCAGCACCATGGATCCTATAGACATGATGGGATGGCTCTTCCAAACGACCGGGCCGCCGGCCGCTACCGGGCGCCGGGTTAGAGATCTTCAGATCCCAGAAGTTGGTTCCATATACCACAGATTGATCCAAGTTACGCGACCCGGTAAACGTTTCCAAAAAACGATGGAAAGATCCACCATGTTTAATGGGTATCAACGGTATATCGGTATATCAACTATTTCGACTGGGCCATTTTCCATAGCTATGTTAGTTTACCAGAGGGTAATCCAAATGTTAAGCATGGTTACGCTATTTTTTCAAATCCTTCAAGCAACTTTTAGATAATGATAAATCAAGTACTCGTACATACCAACATGAATAAGTCCCTAACTTGTTTGTTGCATCACCATTTACAGTATTTCTCAAACTTTGATTTTTGTTGGTGGCAAAGTTGGGGGCACCACATGGCCACAGGAAACGCGCTTGAAGCCCGTCTTCGATGGGGATGGCTATGCCATGGAAGCTCCCCACGTTCGATTGAAGAATGCCTATGCCACGTGGCGATGTTGTGAGATTTGTGAGGTGACGATTTTCAATACCAGTGACCAGTGGCAGAGTTAATTAACAACTCTGATTGGTGGTTTGGAACATGAATTTTATTGTCCCGACATTCCCAACTGACTTTCACTCCATCATTTTTCAGAGGGGTAGAAACCAACCACCAACCAGTTATGGTTAAAATTCCCATCATGGTTAGCCATAAACCACCATTATTAACCATTATCAACCATTATTAACCAGTAAATTAACCATTATTCACCATGGATTTGCTTGAGGACCCCTCCAAAACAAATAGATATGCCCTTCATCGATTCCTCATAGGGTCCTGGATTAGAAAAAAACATGCCTTCGACTCGGCAGATCCAGGACAAAAAGGTGCATAAAAAGGTGCATCAGGTGAGGTGTGCGTTTTTTTTTTAATATAAGGGCTTTGATCTGATTTAATCATATTCCATCTAATCAAAAACAAAAATAATAAAGTAACGGCCTTGATGCTTAAAGGTTATCAAGCACGAGACACCACGGTTTTAAGGGCACATTTGAACCAGCTAATCCAGCATTAGGGGTTCACCTCTGGGGGTTGGTGGAATCCCTATTGCAGTTTCCAGTATTCTACTGCAAAAGGTTGTGGTCGATGTATGTTTCTGCCACCAGTGCGTATCCCCCAACAAACCCTTCTGGATCTTGTGGTTTGTCACTATTCTCCACATTTTGGTGTTTTTCCGACCTGTTTTGCGTAAACCCACGTGAAGCGGCACAGAAAGAGCAACATAGAAGAACCAGAGGTACCCAGAGTCAGAAGAACTAAAACCACGGTATATGCTATAGTCCACAGTGATTCCTGAGTAGAACGAAAAAGCGAAACCAATTTGACCTAGTGGCACCAGTGGGCAGCCTAGTGGGCAGTGTCCATAAATGGCATAGTCCAAACCCGTTGGTTCATCATCATATTCCGCGCTACATTGACATAAAATGAGAAATGGGGATATGCCCCATTCTCAGACAAGCACCGAATTTAAACGAAATTTGGGCCCCCCCACATTTTCAAAATGTTGTTCGGATCCATCCAACCAGCAGTGTTTCAGGTGCGATACCTCGTGGGGCAGATGATCATTTTCGCTCGTTACGACTTCCTGGAAGAAAGCTCGGACCACAGGGGATGCTGAGTTTCCCTTCACCACTTTTGGGAAAGACCCAAAAATAAGTTCATACATTGAATTTGGCTCCCATTAGAATTGAAATTGATGTGCATATATAGTCGAGTGTGTACGTGTGTGACAATCGTTTGGGGGCCTCACAAACCCACATACCTTCCTTTCGAAGAAACAACAAATAAGAAGCCCAATGACGGAAAGATATCAAAAAGGATGATCGGGTGTACGGGACAGAACCAGTGTGATGGTGCGGCGTAGGGAGGCTAAACCCATATATGAGTCCAGGGTGCGAGTCATAGATTAATGTGTGTTCTCACACACTACGGGGCCCAATGTTGCATATATACCTTGATCTTCAAACGAGCATTAATTTCTGGTTGTTTGCTTGTTCGTATATGTTTTTGGCAAGTCGAGCGCATTTTTCCATCACAAGCAGAAATTTACCAAACGAGATCAAACGAGCACTTCTTGAGTTTTCACTGACTGTCACTGATTCAAAAAAACAGGCCCCACAACGAGCGCAATTCTGTACCTCGAGCAGAAATATGTAAAACGAGCAGATTTGGGTTCCTCGAGCAGAAATTTGCTCGAGCAGAAATTAGTGTACCTTTGAAGCTCCAGGTACATATATATATACTGGTTGGTGGTTTGGAACATTTTTTCCCATATATTGGGAATATATAATCATCCCAACTGACGAACTCATATATTTTTCAGAGGGGTAGGTTAACCACCAACCAGTAATGTCATGCATTGGATCCACTGGGCATCACCACCCCCTCCACGTTACTAACTGAGACTAACAGAGTATATGTATATTGAAAAAATCATATATATTCATATTTATATATATATATTTTTGCATATATACATACATACATACATATATATATATACAGAAGAGCAACATATCTACATGTGTCATAGTTTTTCTATTGATAGCTATTCATAGTCTTTGAATGATTGTCAAAAACTATATCATATGATATAATGTAGTATATTAAAATCCTAAGTGGTAAAACCCTATGACTTTCAATATTGCTATCATAGATCTTCGTACAATTGCATTGGTTTTACAGGGAAAAAAACTACAGGACAGGCCTTTTTTTCATTGGGAAATCCATCAAAATCCATGGTTTCCGGTTAAGATTTTCCCCTAAACCAATTCAATGATCATCGATGATCATTTGTTTTTCCATGAACCACCCCCCAGGAAGATCACTATTTTTATAGGTGGTATGTTTACCATTCCCAGTCATAGGTGGTTTAAAATATATAGATTTTCCTCACATTAATAACCCACCCATAGATGTTGTCCACCATCCAACCCATAATATAAGGTCATTAACCATTAATTTTGACCACTTATTGTGGTTAAGGTTGTGAATGACATCTATTGCTAATATTGAGATAATAACATCTATTATTTGGTTGGTGGTCTGGAACATAGCGATTCCAATGTTATGAAGATCTATGATACCAATTTTGAAAGTCATAAGATCTTACCACTTATATAGTTTGTTTATTAAGAAAAAAACATATACTACCAAGTATTAACTATTATTAACCATGATTAACAATTATTAATAGTTAATATTCCCACATTATTAATAATATTAACATTAATACAATGTGGTGCCCCATAGTTATAAGTTGGTTTATAAACCCCATTAACTATAGTTATATCTACCATAAACCATAGTTATTGGAGTTATAAACCAACTTAGCCAACTATGGGGCACCACATTGAACATTAATATCCATTAAGATTCCCACATTACGATGGATTTTGACCACTTCCAGGCCATCGCTACGCCGCCAAGCTGACGGACTTGGTGCGGCAACAGGTGGAGAACTTCACGGAGGCAACGGTGGAGACGGCACGAGGCCAGGCGTTGACTGGGGAAATGCTGGGTTAATACAGGTAAACCATGGGTGAACCATTTTTTTGGGAGATAAGAATGAATGAATGAGAATGGTTGATTTTTAGTGGTCGATGATTGATTAAGTTGATAATGATGAATCATGGTTAATAATAGTTGGTAATTGGTCAATAATTAGGTGATTTTTGAATAATAATTTTGGACTATAAATAAGTCAACAATGATTCATAGATTAACCGAAGTACCAACTATTATTAAATTGGCCAACTGTATAATGGGCTGATTCATAGACTAATTATACCAATTGTTTTTTATGGGCTGATTCATAATACCATCTATGTTGATTACTAATCATACCAATGATGAATGATAAAATCTCATTAATGATAAATATATCTATATACCCAATTATAATACTAATTATACCAATTATGCGGATTATTAAAATTAATATATCAATCAGCCTACTACAACCAGTATCAATCATACCAATTATAAATTTATATAGAATTATATTATTAATATCCAATCGATATCCAATAATGGACGATTATAACATAGGGATATCCCATTGAGCACCCAATTATCTCATAAATATACCCTCTGGTAATTTAACATAGCTATGGAAAATCACCATTGTTAGTGGGAAAACTCACTATAAATGGCCATTTTCAATAGCTATGTTAAATTACCAGAGGGTAGTAAATCTCTATTGGAGATGGTTTATTTCTGATTAACCACATGAATAGTAGGCTAATCATGGGTTAATGGTTGTTATGGTAGTGAATGATGGTTGTTCATGGATACAAACATTGTTATGCCCCCATAAGTTGAGATACGGGGCCCCTCTAACTATGGAGATATATCAGGATATATAAAAATATGATTGGAACTGCGCCCCCCAAGTAGTAATATGATTGGAACTGCTCCCCCCAAGTAGTGACCACTTGACCCAGTTCCATAAGCTTTAACCATCGTATATATATATATGTATGTATGTATGTGTGCGTGCGTTTTATGATGGTGCTTAAACTTAAACTATCAAAGATATGTTCTTGTTACTCATAATGGGGATCCCTATTTCAAGAAATAAGGCATATCAATTATATTGGCCATTTTTGAGCTTCCAATAATCAACGGTATGGGTATATATAGAGGTAAAAAAAATGATTTGTCGTATAGGTTTCAGGGTCTTGTGTAAGCCTTGGGTTGTTTATTGCTATCAGTATGGCGATGTTTTCGGTATCGAAGATTGACTAGCTGACCCCTGGGGGTTATCCTGTTGTAAACTAGCGAACTGGAAAATCAGCATTTGTTTATGTATGTTTAGCAGGTAGAACAACTATCAATGCTTACCAGAGGGTAGTGAGGGATATAAATTTGCCTACTCACCTGGCAGACTTAATATTATCAAAACCACAATACAACATTTCTCAGCCAAACTGTATGCTGGGATGGGAGATTGCTATTTTTAATGGCTCAAACGAGGTCTGCGGGAAATGGATGTTTATCCTTTATGCCCCTAGTGCTGTATTCTTGTCATAGTACACGTTTCTATTTCTGCTACGAAAATGGTGGTTGCGCGCGTCAACCTCCATGAGGGATGAGCAGAAAATCTGCAGGACTTCTGAGAAACCATGGTTTCTGCTCATTTTTGACCTTGAACCAATCGTCAGAAAGACATTGAGTAATAAAACTGCCATGTTTACTTAGTATTGTATCATATTGTTTACCAACATGAAAGTGGGTAAGCCCCAACCTCAGCCTGTCTGGAGGTCTCTATGCGCAGTTCCTTCGTGTCCTGTTGCGGAAGTCCTTAATCACGCCGGACGACTACGAGGTCTACCAGCAGATCTGCCCTCTCTTCGACCCCGTCTATGCGCCTGAGCCAAATGATGGCTCAAAAACATGTTGAAAAGTGGAATTAAAGCTGATTTAAGAAACAAGGCATGTGCATATTCCCAATGTTTTATATATTTTGTCGAAAACCCCATATGTTTCCACCTCGAAGTTAAACCTGGTACATTGTTGCACTTATCCGCATGATTTGAGGTGCCATGGTAGTTATACCCACAACAATCACAGCCAACTGATATCCCTATCGTATCTCCATGCCATTTTTCCATGATTTTCCTAGTTAAGTCCCTATTTTCCACCTGTTTCCCTAGGCGGATCGCGCCTTTTTTGGTCCCAGGTCTTCTACGATGAGCAGAAGGATTTCTACACCCAGTTGGCTGAGGTTCAACAACAAATTCTCGGTGGCTGCTGAGGACGGGTATACCTGGATGGATTAGACTAGCCATGTGGATGGATGGATTGCAACCAGCAAATTTATGGAAGATGACCACTTTCCGGGCTGCATTGATGTTTGTTTTGTTTGAGTCTTCCGTTCCACGGACCTTTCCGGTTTGAGACAGGTCTGAAAAAGACGGATGTTTTCGAGAGAACAGCGCACCAAACTTGCAATAAACGCATTACATATCATTACCATAGCCTTGACAAGTTTTTCCGGACAATGATGTGTTCTTGCATTGTTTGGCGCGCAGTTGCCCAAGCACTCTCTTCATGAAGAGACAAATGTACCATTTGGTGCTGGAATGATTCACCACCAGTTCCCAATGAATAGCGAGGTGGTAGTGGGGGAATGGATTAACCAACTGCTGCCTACTTGCTTAAATTGAAGATCATCCCGGCTTATTTACGTCCTGGCGCAACGGCACAACAGCGCACGTTTGCGCGGCCACGAAAAGCACAAAAAGAGGCGCCACATGCTGTGTTGTTGATGTGGATGCTAGCTGTGTTGCTTGGCTATTCCCTGAACTTAGAAACATGTTTTGGATCTCGGTTACACTGAAGAAGTTGCTTTGTGGTGTTCCATCTAAATGTCCAAAATAGTACTCCTTGTTCCGGATGATAAGTCCAAAGTTTGAAGAGATGGTATAGTCTGATATAGTTACAATTTATATTTATTCAATACCAATTGATAATATAATAACATATACTGTATAATATGAACATATATATATATAATTATATATACTACAATTTGTGGCCGATATGATATCAAATCCATACATAGACAAATAAATGAATGAATCATAAAACAATGAATGAACCATATATTTATATATGCATAATAAAGAGGTTAACTTGGGGGTGGAACGTCCGTTGCTTCATGGGGCTGGAATGTGAAGATCCCAGAGGTTTCAGTGAACAAAATATAACAAAATTGTCCACGAAATGTGGTGAAACCAATAGAGTTCCAATGTCCCCATGCTATCTCACCCGGAGCCACAAGCAAATCCCTCAGAAGCACCAACGAATTCCATTGATCAGAACGAACATGATTGGGTACCATATGGTAACATTTTGTGAAGAAAATGGTGGAGTTGGAAGACTTGTTACTTTCCTTCTGGGATGCATTGAAAACCGCATTGAAAAATGATTCGTTTGGCTGATTAAAAGACAAAAAAAGAGTTGAAATTGGCCGATCAACCCCTCAAAAAGATATTAATCATGATATATCCATATATATATATATATCAACCCTTAAGTAACCACACTTACTGTAGCTATTTCCCAATGGCTTCAAAATGTGAGGTAATCACCATGCATCCGGCTGAGGATGGTGGGTCATTTCAAGGTGGAAGGGCACCTGGGCGGTTTTTGTCGGAGGGATGTGTGGCGGTTGGGGCACGCGAAGACATTGGACAATTGGTCATGGAACATATATATATATCCATTTTAAAAAGGGATATATAGAATATCATAGAATGGTCACCTATGATAATCTACAACATATATATATATATATATATGTATGAATGTATGTATGCATGCATGCATGCATGTATGCATGTATGTATGTGTACTTATATATATATGGCAGAGTATGGATCAATGGAATCATAATGCCGTGGATTTCGCCTCCAGTGTCCTCCAACATGGGTTGGTTCATGTATTTGTTGATGGCATGGCTGCCCTTAATGAATTGGACAGAACATTGTTTTTTATTCTACAAACATGGACGGGATTGAAATGACCGAATCAGGAAGCGTACATTTGCACAAAGCAGCAGATGAAATGCATTTGGTTGGAGTTCCTCAGGGAACAGGTTTTCATGCTGACAAACCATGTTTTGGAAATCAACTGGACACATCTCTATCCCAAAAAATGCAAGTACCATAAATAAATCCCCCTGAGATAGCACAGTCCAAGAAAAAAATAGGCGGAGGCAGACTTGTTCTGAAGGCGATGGAGACAGAGATACATAAATCATCACAAATAATCATGCATCATCATAAACCATCATGCATAAGTTATCATAAATCATCATAAATCCATAGATGTTGCTTGCAATATTTTTCAGTTCATCTATAAACCATCCCTCAACAAGTGCTGTTTCTTGACCAAGCGTTGCCTCCCTTAAACACCACCTGGGTCCCGAGGATGACGTGTGCATCCTGTGCGGCTTGGCAGATCCTCTTGGGGATGCCACTTGTAGCTGTTTTCATAGGGAAAAAGAGGATAATCCACCGGGGATAGCATATTTTCAGACAAAACCACACAACTGTTTTACTGTATGTGTGATAGATATATAGTGTGACAGATAGATACTGCGCAGATACACATTATATATATATAAATGTATTGTGTGAGTGCGCGTGTTTTTGTTCTTGAAGGGCAATTGTCCAACATATTCCCATACCCTCTGGTAAACTAACATAACTATGGAAATTCAACATGTTTTGTAAATCAACTATTTCTATGGCAATTTTCAATAGCAAACTGTTAGTCATAACCCGAGGGTATCTAGTGTTGATTTCAATCCCCCATTGTTCTGGATCAATCACAAAAAGGTGGGTGCCGTGGAGCGTGCGATCACTGCCCTGGACGGGGTGAAGTCACTTGATGGAAGGTGTGAGGTTTTTAGTTCCCATTTTTGGTGGAGAAAAATTGCAGCCATGATAAGGGGAATCAGCCATGAAATGGTCATTTCATCTGGGAAAATGATGGGAACCTTGTATTTTTAATGGCATTCGATGCTACAAACACGGTGAGAGAGCTTCATGGGATGTAATAGATCATGGGACCTATGGGACTTACTGGGATATATACCCTCTGGTAAATTAACATAGACCCTGAACATGAGATGGTTGTTGTGGAAACTAGTCTTCCAACCCCGATGACTGGCAGAGTCTATGTCAATTTGCTGGAGGATAACCAGCAAGATAAGAGGAAACAAACCCAAATGACTTGAGAAGTACTGGAAGTTCCTGGAAGGATTGAGGATCTCTGCGCTAAGACGGATCCTTCCTCAGTGCGTCTTATGATTCCATCCCCTGCAGTGAAGCTGAAGAGAAAATTCAACCCGGGCCAAACCAAGGTCTTGGGGGATGGGATTACTATTGGGTTTGGCCCGGGATTATAAAATCCCCAAGACCTTGGTTTGTTCATATAAAACGGCATGTTCATATTTTTTTAGATGTACCCTCTGGTGAACTAACATAGCAATGGAAAATCACCATGTTCAATGGGTAATTCCACTATAAATGGTCAATTTCAATAGCTATGTTAAATTACCAGAGGGTAACCGTTTTATAATTTCTTCGTATTACAGGGGGATGGGATTACTATTGGATTACTAGTTTTCATGATTGACTCTCCGGTGGCGCGGAGAGATGTGGAGAGCGAGATCGGCGCAGTTTGAATCCACGGCTGCAAGTGGCTTTAACTACCAAAAAACAGGATCACCTGCAAACCAGGTTCATCAATGGTTGGTAATGAAGTGGTTTGTATCTTCCGAGCTCATAAGTTCGCAGCTACTTAGCCACCTTTTCACAGTGACAGGTCCAGCCGTTCGTGCTAGGCGGCTGTTCCCAGCCCAGGGAAAGATAAAAAAAGTAGTCCGAAATACTCAGAGCAATATTTGACTATCCGGTCGCCGTTGAACATGTGCATGCATTTGCTACCCTTTGGTAAACCAACATAACTATGGAAAATCACAATTGTCAATGGGAAAATCCACTATAAATGGCCATTTTCAATAGCTATGTTAAATTACTAGAGGGTAAAACACATTAAAACACCATGTTTGGTTATTTAACATAGCTATTGAAAATAGCCATTTATAGATGATTTTCCCATTAAAACCTCCATTTATAAGGGATTTTCCATGGCTATGTTAAATAACCAGAGGGTATATTTCGCTACACTTCACGTTGAACATGAACTTCATCTTGGGGGTAGCGATTCCGTGCACCTCTTCCCGGCATGGAAGAGCCCAGGCCCATGTCTTGCACCATGGTGAATATTCCCTTATAATAATATGTGCATAATATAGTATATCAGTATAATTATATATATATATATATTTATTGTAGTAATATAACATACATTTTTATAATAATGTATGTGTATATATTTATATTATACACATTTATTTAGTTATGATATTATATATGTATGGGTTTACCTTCCAGTAATCAAACATGGCACTTGAAAATTCCCCATTTATAGATCATTTTCCCATTGAAATTGCCGGCCATGTTTGATGACACTGGGTGTAGCAACCATTTAATATAGGGTACATTGCTGTTACTACAGGGAAGGCCCCGCGTTGACCTTAGCTCTGTTGGTTGAACTATGTTGGGGTTGTGGCAGATAAATCTACAGGGTGGGGCCCTTCCTGGCATCGGGGCAAGTGAAACTTTCAGAGTGAACTGTTAGGTATAACATGTTCTTCCACATTACCCCCTCAACAAAGGCTTAAAACTTGGCTGGGCTATACCTATACACTCAGTTTTGCTTTGGTGCTTTTCAGGTCATATCAAACAATCTTTAGTTACCTGTATCTAAGCATAGTTAAGCAAAGGTAAACTTGGCTGGATAATACACTTTCCGTGAAAATATATAGGTAAACCATGTAAAACACCAACTTGATACACACACACATATATATATATATATACACACACCATGTTTTACATATGTATCAAGGTAAAAACCATGTAAAACACCATTTAAACCCTGTTTTTTTAGCACCTTCAAATGGGCTCAACAAATCTCTTGGGTTAGCAGAACCTGTCGTTCTGCTTCCATCGTGTTGCTCAGGTCTGCGGAGATCTCTTTGACCTTAAAACGTGCCGAGGCGATGCCCTGGGGAACCCCGGGGTTCCGAATGCCTGGGGCTACCCCCAATAGCTGGATGGCTCAGAGACTATGGTAAATTAACAGTTGGACCCTGAAAATGACCAATTTATATCAATTTTTAGTGGAAACTAATCTTCCAACCCCCATCTGCCAGGGTTTATGTTAATTTACTGGAGGGTAGACTATAGTGAAAATAGTCCAATGGCTGTGGACTACCAACTAATAACTGTGACTTATGGCTGGGCCACCAACATTAGTTGAACTACCAAAGATCTGGTTGGTAGTTTCAAACATGAGTTTTATTTTCCATAATATATGGGATAATCCTTCCCATTGACCATTGACTAATATTTTTCAATGTGGTTAAAACCATCAACCAGGCTGGATGGCTAGTCAATGGCTAGTGGAAAATGGGCAACCGGCCATTTGATTCAGCAGCAACTAAAGTGACACACCAAGAAGAAGCAGAAACAGATACCTATGAGCTCACTGAGCATGCTGCAAATGTGCCCTTGGGTACATCAAGCTCACGGGTGACAGCCCGATTTGGAGCCGGGATTGCTGTCGGTGGGGCGGGAACCTCCGGAGGCAAAACGTGCACGTGCAATTCGGCGATGACCAGGAGTGATGCCGCACTGCCTCCTCGCAAGGCAACCCATCCTTCGTGCAGTCCTTGGCGTCTGGAAGGTCCTTCAAGGGAGTCCCAAAGAAAAGCCAGGAGGACCAATTGGGTGATCTGGACCTTTCTAGTCTTGCTGAAGAGTTGGACCTCAAGAGTTTGGATTCCATCCCCTGTGAAGCCGCTACAGCTGGCGCTTCCCCCGAAGGCAGGTGTCTGGTCATGGCTTCAGTGTTCTTCCATGTTCTTCCTGAAGCGTTTTGGGACAAGGTGGTTCTTGAGGTAGAAGCTAAGATGCCAGAACACTTAATCTCAAGTTACTGCATTTCAATGTGCCAGAAATTATTGTAGAACACGTGACGACCCAGTACATTTAACATGGAACCACACTCAAGAAAAAAACATATCCTAGTAGTAAAATCAATGATCCTTTGCCAGCCTGTTTTTCAGCTTCCGTGTTAACTCTTCGGGGTGTAAACCTGCTGCGCGTCCAACGAATCGGGTTTTGAAAGGTGACCTATTTTCCGAGCGTGCACGCTGAGAATGTTGTCACTTGGATACTCGAAACTGGTGGCTTGCGCATGAAGATTTCTGGTTGGTGGTTTGGAACATGACTTTTATTTTTCCATTTCTAGGGAATGTCATCAACCCAACTGACTCATATTTTTCAGAGGGGTAGGTCAACCACCAACCAGAAAATGATCCTTGTGTTACAACAGTAGACATATACGTCTTTCAGCTTTGGCGGCTCTCTAGCTATTGTTATATTCTTCGCCCTTGCCTCTTCCAGATGTTCCCTTAACTTTGGATTTATGGTCAGACACTGGCTTTTTAAATTCCTTGTTTGGGATATCTAATCATGATGGTTTCAAGGATAAACTGCACCTTTACACCATTTTACACCATATTTTCTGGTTGGTTTGTCGATTTGTTCCAGCCTGGGATGATGAGGTTGAAGCCATTGAGGATGTTGGCTTCGAAGCAAGCGTCTTGAACGAGGTGGAGCGCAACGTCCGCGCAACGCGATGTGTTGGCAATGTCAAGCCCGATGTTCATCTATGAGCTCTTGTGAAACTACGAGGGTGTCACTTTAGTAGATGAACTCAACAAACATATGGGAGACCCCGATTCTTAACCAATCCGGGGTTGACATTCCAAGATCTCCATCCACATGTTCCATTATTTTTGTTCCCAGACATCAAGTTGCAGGCTGGAAAAAGGATACCGAAGCCGGCATCATAGTTTACTTTAGTATGTTTTAGTTAAGATTTCAAGGCCACAGCATTTGACATTCCCGTTTTGAGAAGAACCCACTTGCAAACGGTGCAGATCATCCAAACGGTTTTTGAACCCTAAAGGGGGACTATATCTAGCGTGTCAATCCCCACGATGATCCCATAAGGGTATTGTTTTTTTCCACACCGAAAAAAGAAAGTGATGGGTGAATACCATAGACATGTAGGTACGATTCTCCGTTTAGGTTGCCACATGGCAATTATTTTTCGTGACAGCCACTATTTTACTGGTTACAAGCCTCGTGTTTTGCAGAACTAAACTATCTTTTTGTTGGTGCAGCCCGGTTCCCATCCCATTCAGTTTCCAGTGAGTAAGTGGGCAATAACATGTCATACTATAACTCCATAACCCAGCTAAATATCACCAAGAATACAGGGCATACACTTGGTTGATAAGTGGTCGCTTGTTAAATAGGATGCTTGTTTAAGGTTTGCCCTTCACAGGCCCTTTGATCATTTTTCATCAGGTGCAGGTTCATTCCGAGCGCACCGACCGGCCATCGGAATTGCCTGTGCCCCTCGGCTGCTTCCGACACAGTTGGGGTGCTTTGGAATTGATAAAATGGGAGGTTACCATCTGGTTATGACTAACATAGCCATGGAAAATCACAATTTTTAATAGGTAAACCATCTATAAATGGGCCATTTTCCATGGCTATGTTGAATAACCACAGGGTAACCAGCCAAAATTGAAATTGAAGGAACACATGCTAATGTTGCCAAGATTGGCAAACAGTTAGCTTTCAGTAATTAAGCGAGACCTGATTTGACAAGCAAAGAACATATGTGTACAATGTGAGGCCCCCAAGATAGCTAAGTTGGTTTATAACTCCAATAACTATGGTTTATGGTACTTATAACTATAGTTACTGGGGCTTATAAACCAACTTATAACTATGGGGCCTCACCTTGTAAGTGTCACGGATAGCTTTTCGTCATCAAACCTGGCAGTGTCCTCCCATTCACAAAGACCATGTTCCCATTGAACATGTGGGTTTTCCAACCAGGTTGGGCTGCTGGAGGCAGTCCAAAAAATCTGTGGTCGCTCTTGCCAGGAACGGTTTGTTCCGGTTAGATTTTGGGATGGCTTGAGCCATTGGTTGAAAGAACTTTGGAAACTATATCATGGGTCTACGCTGATAGAACTAGTAACTGGGATTGGTTGAGTATATCTATAATTGGACAACGGCTGGGTTTATGCTGAGCATATCTATAGCTGGATAATCTATATATAGTTGGATAATGTTGGATAGGTTTATCAACGAACTTTTGCGGGGCACCACATTTTAGGAGCCAAAAACTGCCAAAAACCACCTCAAACCAAGGCTGATGGCCCAGAGTAGTACCCAACTGCGAAAGGTGGGGGGTCTCAGTGGCTCCAAGGGCATAGCCGAAACCTGGCCGAAACCTGGTGCCAGTATTTTTCTCACCCCTCAAACAGGGATGGACCCCACACGAACCCATTGGATTATCCATTGTTAATGGGTCATCCAATGGCTTAGGAATAGTTTTCATAAACCTTGGCTAACGGCTAACATTAGGGAAACCGTGGTGGAAGCGGTTGTTGTTGGATGACACTTAAGGCATTGCCAAGGGATGGCCCCTGGCGGTCCTCCTATTTTGCTCCTTTTTGGGTAAGTTTTGGATCAATCTTCATCCATTTTGGATCGGAACCTCACCGACGTCACTGGAATCATTGTGGTTTATGGATGTTTATGAATCATCGGCCGTATGATTGCTATGTTTGAGCTTGGTGAATCAATATGAATTCTGCCAGAAGTCCGAGCTTCATGCCAGAATCCTCCCCTTCAAGGGCATTTTTTTTAAATAACAGACATATGGAATGGATGGGTTCTACCCTGAAAAGAGGCTATAACTTGATGATGGCTCATCATCTTCCGTTGAAGATAGCCCTTTGGAATGATTTCGAGATACAAAAACACATACATCCGTGATAGTCATAAAATTATGTCTTTTTTAAAGCAGTAATCATACGTCTTTTATGTGGTCATACCCGAGTCATACCCGTCAGGTTCTGAGAATCAATGGGTTGGTTTAAGGGAAAATGTAAATCGTAACCGGAAACCATCGATTTTCCCATGAAATATGGGGCTTTCCTGTAAAAGAAAAAATGCCAAATAAACCTACGGGAAAGCATCGGTTTTCCCATGAAGATATGGGGCTTTCCGGCTGAAATGGTCCCTATAAATCCAATCCATTGAGAGAAATGCACATCGCTGGTAGATATGAACTGATCTTCTCCCCGATGACCGAGCCAATGGACACGGATCAAGGTTGCCACCTCCATCTATGGAGCCCCTTGGCATGGAAATTCACCCCGGAAGGTCTTTGGAGTATGCCCTTGGATGTATACCCGGGGACTGGATGTGGGTTTGCCCCCAAACAAATGAGGGGAAATGACGATAAACCAGGGCATTTTGAGGGTTCCCCGAAATTTTCAAACAACCTACTATCCCAACTGGCAGTTTGGCTTGGTTGTTTGGAACATAGGGATTCTCAGACGGTGATCACACTTGGGCATCACCAGTATGCAATGGCGCACCAACCCAAAGCATCACTTAGCCCTTGGCTGAACGCATGAAAGAGGCAGATAGATGTGTTTTCTCACCTTCAGAGGTCCCCAATGATGAGACCCCCATATGCCGGCTAAGGCTCCATGATTGAACAGATTGGTTGAGTGAGAAAAATCGACTGTGTAGGAGTTGGTTCAGAAGCCCATTTGACATCACTGTAGAGATATCTCCGATGATATCTCCCATAAACATAAACATCCATAAACTATCATAAACTCTATGTTAATGTTGCTAAACCAATCTAGGTAGCTGTGTGGCACCATCTGGTACCCCTTGTGGAATATGCATATCAGAGCGCTGGCGGAATTGATCCAAATTTACTTCGTTGATTTACCGTACCTATTAAAGATGGTGATTTTACATATAGCTTTGTTACTATATATCCCATATAGGATCCATGTATGGTATATATGCTAACATTTGGGGTATATTGATGGTAAATGTTACCACATATAGCATACATGGATCTATGGGTATATATGTGAATTTACCAAGAGGGTCCCCGCCACCACACGTAAATTTTGTACCCAGGGAAACCGTTTCTCATTTCCATCTCATTTCCAGCCTCGCGTCGCCGCTGACTCCTCCAGTGCATCCGGAAGCGGCTGTTGGAGGGTCCAACACCAACGCCGAGCCAGCGAACGAGGGACACAGAGACCTGGCGCTTGAGGTCTTGGACATTACAACGCCACGGCGACACCAGAGACAGGCGTTTCCGACAATCCTCACGTGCCTCACGTGCCTTTGCTTGCTCTTCCTCGGGTTAACTTAGTGTCCATACCTGGAAAGCCGTAGTTGCCTATTGTTTCAGGCTACTTTGGCCTGGTAGCCCATTTTTGTGGCACTTTGCAAGTCTCACACCAAAAAAGGCACTTCATCTTTTCCTGCAAAAATGACCGTAAAAGTGCCGTAAATATCCGTGAAGTGCCATAAATACCCGTAGAAATCCTACTCCTAAAATGGTACACTTTCCAGTGGCCAAAATTTCGGGCACTTTGGAAATTGCCCAAACCAATGGGCACTAGGCTTTCCAGGTAGTTAATATAGTTAGAGCCCTCCGCTGCCCATCGATTCTCTGACGCGCAGCGAAGGTAGGAAGAAGCAGAATCAACAAATATGGAAACCAGTTGGCCATGTATGAGCGACTTGGATGATCCCCTAAGTTCGCAATGGGTGGTGCCCCCATGTGCTTGTTGCTTCTTGTTGCATCTTGTTAGAGCCAGTTCACAGTGGATGGATGGATGGATGGATGGATGGATGGATGGATAGGAAAAAACAAACTATATATTTGCCATAAATCTGTAGAGCGTACAGCCAACTTAGGGGTAACAATCTGGGGCACTACTTTGTAGGTCGAACTTCCAGACCTCTTGAAATATCCCAATTGTAACGGGTTGTAGGAAATAGTTCCCCCAGCTTCAAGTTGGATTACATACACTTATAGGCCCATCCAATTGTAGATGCTCGACCATACACCCAACTTATGTTAGTTGTAAGCCAACTCACTCATCAAATTGGGTGTCCTCGTTGTAGGATCATCCATGCTATGCCCGGGGCAACAACAAAGCGCTTGAGGTCCGCGGTGTGGTGGTGAAGGATGCCCAAAACGCTGCTCAGTTGAACGGGGCGGCGATAATCTGGGCGTCTCCTGAAGTAACGGAGCAGTTCTGAGCAAATTGTAGCGACCTTGATGTGAAAAGAGGGATTTAACGATTTAACATCTGCATTTTGTAGTTCATTTCTGATTCGAGAGCAAACATGATTTACCCGCCCTCCCTGAAGAAAATGGTCTTGACATATTTGGAACATCAAGCCCTTCAGGACTGGGCGATTCTGGAGTTACGATTACAATTGCAACTGATTTGTTTGTTTCAATTGCAAGCACCCAAAAGCCAACCAAATTTTACCTGAAACGATCATGGCTAAGCGGAAAGTTGGCATCTCGGATTCACGCGCCAACATATTTCAGAGATATCTGTCAGTGGTAAAAACATTTAAATCGTGTCCTGAAGTTTAAAGTGGCAAAGTTTCTCCAGTCAGATACAGTTAGACATCCTTCGTTGGTGTATTGTGATATTCACGCAACAACCTTGGGTTCATGGCAGCAGGAAGGGGCAAAAATCCTGGCTAATTAGGGGTTAAGCAGGTCAACTGAGGTTATGGTAGATATTATATATATATATCATAACATATCATAACTAATCACAACTAGTTAGATGCGGTATTTCCATGGAATTTGGTTTTGGGATCCCCACTGGTCCGACGGTCCCCTTTCCCAAATTTTATCTTCCGATGCAAGGCCGGGTTTTCGTGGCCCTGGGTGTGCCCTCGCTAAGGCGCGCTTGTTATACGATCCGGTGAAGGCACTGACCGGTTTCTCATGGGATGTGCAGCATTTTTTCGGACAAACCCATCAGTTCAGTTTATTGACTGGTTATAATGGTTTATATATATATTATGTTTATATGGTTTTTGATGGTTCGATGATCCCTCATCTTCCAGTTAGCTGTCTGAAATCCGCAACCATCCCCAAAACGGAAGGTAGAATTATGTAGAAGTGGTATAATCACTCTGCGGTGAAATCACGAATCTCAGTGGCTAGAAGGTTAGAGGATGTGAAGCCGTGAAGCCGCCCCATTTCAAGCACGGTGCAACCTAGAGCTGAAGATGAATTGGTTTCTTTTCCCAACGGCAGATCCACGAACCTTGGGGAATCTATAGATTTTCCGTGTTTTTTTTTTGGGTGGGTTCCTTAAGTCTGGATTGGCTTAAGGGAAAAAATGCCGAACAGCCCGATCAAGATCCTATAGTTGATGGTATTTTTACCCATGGTTTCCGGCTCCGAGCTTCACAGGATGGGCCACCACAGCCATGTTTGTTGGTTTATAAAGACCATTAACTATAGGTATATCTACCATAAAGTATGGTAAGTATGGTTAAATCTATAGCTATAATTACTATAGTATATACTATAGTTATATCTACTATAAACCATAGTTATATAGTTATCTATAGCTATATCTACCATAAACCATAGTTTTTTCAGCCACAACCATATCTCAACTGAACGCTATCCAACCATTGGCACTCATCCGGCAGGTGGGTGCCAGGAACTTGCTGCAGAAGCTCGAGGGGGTGTCTTGGCGAACTATATTATATATATATATATACACATATATGACGAATATATCGTAATATATACCATATGTATAATATTATGTGTGTATATATGCATATAAATATATAAATATATATATATATATATATGTATATAATATGACTCTAATTGACTTAAAGTTGACTTTAGTTTCTTTTTCTTTTTGATCTCTCCGGTATACCCTGACACCGAGGTGTGTCGTTACCATGAAGAGGTCCTGGAAGATCCCTCTGTGGCGACTCTGAGACGGTAGCTTGATGTTTCAAGATCCCAGTGGCGGCAGGCGCTTTCATCCCCCAAAGATTTGCCAGTCAGACTGGTGTTGGAAGATGCTGTTGCTGGTGCTTGTGAACATTGATATTTTTTATGCTGAAGATATTTTTTTTTTGAATTGGTAAATCCAGGAACCTTGGGGAACTTCGGAAGCGGAAAAGGAGGTTTCCTTAAGCAAATCCAAGTTTTTTTGAATAATGGTGGATCCACAAAACGGATGATTTATAACGGAAAGTCCTATTCAAATGGATGGGGTACCCCTATTTTAAGAAACCTCCATCTGGGTTCCCAAGCAGGGAACGATTCACTACTTTGTTTAATGGGACCTATGCCTCCCACATGTATCAACATGCATTAACCATCCCAACATTTGCTGGTTGAGTAGGTTATCAATGCAGATTGCTGTAATTAGTGGGTTAGCAATTTTGTTGTTACCCTCTGGTAAACATACAAACAAACTATGGAAAATCACAATTTTTAATGGGACCACTCACTGTTTCTATGGCCATGTCTAATAGCTATGTTAAATTACCAGAGGGTATCTTGGAACAAGCAAGTAATAGTAAAACTGGTTGGGTAACCATACCTACTGATGGTTTAGTTATTGAATGGTCTACGTAGTAACTTACCAAATTGCTTAGTCATCATAATTTCATTTTATGATCGTCATGGAAGAGAAACACTGCTGGAGTAGGCTAGGGATATGTTTTGGCAAACCTTTTCTTAGCCAGAACCACCCCAATGGCCTTTCATTTGTTGGATTCTGTGCGCAGATTGAATGAATCATCGGCAATAAAAGCCAAATTGATTCTTTCCCTGTTTGCTAAGTTGATTTACAACTAGACCAGGGTTCATGGTGGATATGATATTCTATAGTTGGATTGATAAGTTGTCTAGTTATTATACCCTTTGGTTATTTAACATAGCCATGGTATAGATGGCCCAGTTCGAAATAGATGGTTTACCGAACTTAATAGCATGGTGGATCTTTCCATGGCGAACTGTTAAATATTGTTAAATAACCAGATGGTATATGAATCAATGTGGCAAATCCAGTAATAACGATCGTAAACCCTTCTCAATGACTCACCGGAATTTCCGATGCTCCAATGCTCCGAGGATGAAGCAGATGCTGCTGCTGTCGCTGCCCCCTACGATCATGCCACCTGGCAATTCTTTTGGGAGCTGGGCCCATGAGATGATCGAAGTTTGTATGCACGTATATAATCCCTATGGATCCAGCCGTACCTTCTTAGGAAGTGGGACTGGGCTATGATTTGTTGATGTTTTTCGTACCTTGTCAGGTGTTTGGATCCATAGGGAATAATATCCGGATGAGTTATAGCATGTTATAGCTAATATCTCTATAATAACTATGGATAACTATGGAAAACTATGGACTATATAGATATATATATATATATATCTACAAGCATCGATAGGCCAGCCAGTGGAGCCAGTGAACAGAAAATCCGACTCCGGGGCCTCACCTGGTAGCGGGGGAGTCCGTTCAAACGGCCGAAAATGATAACAGCTATTTTCAGCTTCGTGCATTACCCATAGGATCCATGTATGCTATATATGGTAACATTTACCATCAATATACCCCAAATGTATCCAAAGGTTAGCATATATACCATACATGGATCCTATGGGTTATAATTGAATATAGTTGATATACCCTGTGGTTATTGAACATAGCCATGGTTTGTTGATGGCCCATAGAAATAGATGGTTTACCGAACTTAAACATGGTGGGTCTTTCCATGGCGAACTGTTAAATAACCAGATGGTAGTTCAGCCAGAATAATATGTCAAGCCAGGATGAACACAAATAAAAGCTTCGTGAAAAAATGGAGGTATCTATTTGATAATTGATTGCACCAGATGGCACTTTTGAAACCCAACAAACGCCCTTATCGCGTTTGGCGGCGCCATGGGATCTATAAATTAGCGAGTCCAGCAGAGAAGACCTCAATGGGATACTTTTTTACTTATTTTTACGTGTTTTCTAAAGGAGATCAAGTAAAAATCAAATTGACTAACCTGAAATTTTCCACAAATGCCAGCCTGGATATGTTTTTTACTGATTGGGAGAGTTTGGTAATAGGAAGAAGGGATTACCCCATGCGTTTATCATTATTTATCTCTTTATCATGTTACACTCAAATTTTATATGCTTGCATCAATTTATGTAGACCTTACATAAGATAAGTACAGTATGTCTGCGTTTTAAATACGGCATCCCTCAGCCAGAAGCCAAGGATCGTATTGTTGGTGGAAGGTTTTTTACCCGATGCTTGGGAGGACGAGATCGCAGGCATCCCCAGTGCATTCTTGCCCCTCGTTGATGAACATTGCTGGGACGATAAACCAATTTGTTGTTACCCAACCTGGTAAACATACACAAAACGAACTGGAAAAGATCCACCATTTTATAGCTGGGTAAATCCACTATTTCGACTAGGCAATTTTCAATGTCGCAAACTGTTAGTTTACCAGAGGGTACTGGATTTTCCATTGCCACGTTTGATTTCCGGAGGGTACTCGCCCCCTTTTCAATGTGGACATGTTTTGGATGAGCACCAAAAAAAAGATGCTACAGTAGGCAAGTAATTAGCATCGAGTGTGATGCCATGACATGTCATGTCCCTCACTTACGCATCTGAATCAATACGGTTTATTTCTCCAGTAAATTAACATAGACCCTGCCAGTCATCGGGGTTGGAAGACTAGTTTCCACTATAAATTGGTGATTTTCAGGGTCAAACTGTTAATATCCCAGAGGGTATCTCTTCTCTAACTTTGTTTCTCTTCCTCACTTCTTGGTTTACCTGCTCTCATTCTCCACAAGGATTCGGTCTGATTTGCTCCAACTTTGGTACATTGCCAGAAGGGTTGGAACATTGTGATGTTCAATTGTTCCCCTCTGATAAACTTACAAAACGCTATTGAACATGGGCATTTATTGTTGATTTACCCATGAAACATTGTGATTGTCCATAGTTATGTTAGTTTACCGGAGGGTATGTTTATTTGCCTAATTGTCAACCTGAAATCTTGGGTGTAGCAGTCCTGTTCCTTCTTGGATCGTTTGTTTGGATTATTTGGATTGGTCCTTGTCCTTGGAGCTTCCTGTCATGGTTCAGGACCACTCCATGCGGGTTGGTTCCCAAGAGTTAGCGTTCAGTTGGTTTCTAAGTCGTGCCATAGTTGGGCTTATGGCAGTACCTGCAGAATCCTGCAGATCGTTTTTTTTTGGGGATTTACCCTCTGGTAAATTAACATAGACCCTGAAAATCACAAAAATTTAGTGGAAACTAGTCTTCCAACCCCGATGACTGGCAGGGTCTATGTTAATTTACTGGAGTGTAAGAGGCGACAGCGGCGACAACAAAGATTGACCTTTTCCAAAAAAGGCAGTCTCCCAGTCTCCTATCCCAATATGGGTTGGATGTGTTGGACGCTGCTCGAGGTATGTCTTGCTGCTGTCAGCCTTCGTTCAGCTACTTTTGCCGTGAAGGGGTGGCGGGCGGCCTTCACGGTGATCAAGTGATTTGGTGGTCATGTCTGAACGATTAAAGATGTTCATCACACCAATGGCCCAAGTTATGGTGGGAAAAGGGAGCGATGTTGTTGGGATTTACTTGGGATGTTTTTCTGATTTTTCATGGATTATTACTGCATTTTTTAATGGAATCGGAATACCAAAAAACACCCCCCCTTGAGACCAGGGATGACATCGACCATATTTTGGGACCGGGGTGTTTGATATGAACGGATGGGCTGGGATTGACCTTAATATAAATTTGTTGGGATAGAACGGGGATGAACCCCACCATGGGGACGTAATTGTCACTAGTTTTCATTAAAGGCTAATGGATTCTTATAGGTCAGGAAGGTAGGTGTTGAATGTGGGATTAACGAAATTCCATAAACAACTGCCATTTGGAGATTGTTTTTGTTTTTTTACCACCCATGCATGGTGATACTGGGGGCCGTCTTTTTGGTTTACCACAATAGCGCATATGGAGAGAGAGAGAGAGAGAAGTTAAGTGAGTGTGTGCGTTGGTACATGTTATATGTATATACACTTATTATATGGGTGTATATATAGTAACTCATTCAGTCACTGGCACCATTAGTGATGTCAAAAGCTTTGGTAGGGTGATGGAGGGAGAGAGGTACTGTATACCAAACCGGGGCTTGGAACATCCTCTGAACCCAACAGACTTGAGAAGTTCACTAGTTAAACATTGTGATTTTCCATAGTTATATTAGTTTACCAGAGGGTAACCATGGTTTTTCTTGCATATTATCATATGTTTTTTTTGCAATTACAATTTTAAAAGCCTCTGAACGTGTCCACAAGACATTTTGGGAAAGCATCCGAATGCTGTTCTGGACACATTCTGAAGATGGTCCCCCTGGTTCGCCACGTTTTCCAAGTGATTTGTTTTGCGAGATCTTTTTGACAATGGTTATGTTAAGACGATGATTAAACCAAAAACATTGCGATATCGAATGATTTCATTCCAACCATTTTTGGGGGATACACAATGAATGGGGACATACTATCGGTTTGTCTCAAAATAGGATGCTCCCAATTCCAATGGAATTATTTATATACATATATATATATATAATCAGTTTCTTCGCAATCATTGCTATTTGGTGGTAAACGCAATTTTCAGACACACCCAACTATCAGATGTAGATATTGTTGGTTATCAGATGTAGGTATTGTCAGACACACCCCATTTTCAGACACACTCCCAATTATATATATATACATATATTATATATTATATATATATATATATTATATATGGTATTGTTGGCTATGCATCCCCGGTACATTCCAATTTTGTCATATTCTTTGAAATTCTTTGTGCCATATGCCATATATCCATAGGATCCATGTATGCTATATATGGTAACATTTACCATCAATATACCCCAAATGTTAGCATATATACCAGCACCATGGATCCTATGGGTATGTCATATATCCATTTGTCTTACACTTTCGTAATCAAACCATGGCCTTGCTGGAAATCCACAAAGAAAACGACGAGTTTCACGGCGTAAACCTACCGGAGCCGTTCCAGGTTTTACTGCGGCAGCATCTTTCACGAAGCCGCTTGGTCAGCGGCCTTGCACAAGGCCGGCGTCCCGTCCCGTAGTGACTGGATTGGGCCAGGGGAATTCATCATATTCCCTATAAATCCTGTAGATTCCACCTTTTATGGATGGTTGATCATGGAAAATCCGATTCAAATGGATGGTTAATGATGGTTAATGATGGTTATTATGGGGTACTCCGAGATTGCTGGAAATCCACTTGGGAAAAGATTGTTGCCAGCTCATGCACTGGCTGGATACCACGAAAAGGGCGGTTGCAATCACAGGTTTCGGGGGGGCTCAGTGAACTTCCACCATGGCAACGCGGAATCCCCGAACTCAGTGGAGGCTAAAAACTGGGAAAAAAACATCATATAGCAATGGGGAAATGTCCAGCAAACCATGTTTGATTACCACAGTGTACCAGCAAAGAAGTCAATGTTCCCACTTTCAAAGATGGATTTAAGCAATCACAATGTGAACTGCAACACCAAAACATTATGAAATACCAATTAGAGGCGTGGAAATATCCGTACGGCGGTCAATACCTATGAGACAATCCGAGGGATGAATATGTGCCAAGTTTGCCACTTATTTGTGTCCTTGCTTTGCATCGCCCGCGCAGTTTCACAGTCAAACTCAAGCAGTTTCTCCACGGTCACCTGGGACAAGCCCAGGTGATCAAGCCGACAGGTCTCAGTGATCCGCCAAAATGACCGTGGAAAAAAGGTTGTTGGGAAAACTAGCTCCAATGATGTCCAATTACCCTCTGGTTATGACTAACAGTTTGCCATGGTTTGGTATAAGTCGACTTGTCTATCTAGGCGGCCTCACCTTGTAACAAAACCCGCTGCCGGTTAAAATCAACCACCAGGTTTTTGTTGCAGCCCAGTTGCCGATATGATGCCCAAGAGTCTGGAGAAGTAGCTGCATGGCGTCAGATTCGAGTGATGTGTTTTTCCAACCAAATTCGTTTTCAAGGATTATTTCCGTGTTTGAGATGCCTTTCCAGCCTCAATCTTCCAAACAGGCTTATTTCTCCATTTCACCATCTGGTTATGACTAACAGTTCGCCATGGAAAGATCCACCATTTTTAAATTCGGTAAACCATCTATTTCGAACTGGGCCATCCATGAAATAATCCCCATTAACCATAGTATACCATAGGCCACTGAATGCTATCTTGGGGGCCGCATCCTGTATTCTGGTAAATTAACATAGACCCTGAAAATAACCCATGTTTAGTGGAAATTAACCTTCCAATCGCTATCTAACAGGGTCTATGTTAATTTACTGAAGGGTAACTTTTGAGATAATTATAGTTATAATCCCGATGCCTCGCTTGGCCAAGAGGAGAAGAAAGCCACATTCACATATACGATGGGCACCATGATCCATATTCATCATTTGGCACTTGAAATCCATCACTTGGGGAATCTGTATGAACAGGTTTTATTTGTTTGGGGGCCCTACGCCAATCCAAGTTATGGAGTTTAATCCCTCATACCCTGTGGATCCAAACACCTCCTGAGAAGGCACTTAACCCCCCAAATCATACCCCAGTCCCACTTCCCGAGAAGGTACTTGGATCCATAGGGATAGACAAGGGATGATATGTGATATGGGGATATCTTTAATTCTGGTTGGTGTTTTCAAAAAAAATGTTTTCCATGTCATATATGGGATAATCCTTCCCATTGACTTTCATATTTTTCAAGATGGTTGAAACCACCAACCAGTTTTTGTTATTAAATAAAACATGGATTATAAATGACCTTTTGTAAGATTTCCCCATGATTTATGTTTAGCGGGTTATTATAAGGGGTTGTACGGCTCCTTGATGCCCTGGGGGCTTATCATCAGCTGGAAATCCCGTCGCAACGTGGCCCAGTTCGCGCCGCAACGTGGCCCCGTTTGCTTGGTGCTGAAATGTTTACGGCGAGTCATCCGGATCATGCAATTTCCAGGAAAGAGTTGGTTGTTGGTTTCTGCGGAAGAAATATTCGGGGGTTACATATGTAATATTATATAATTATATTTAATGCGGTCAAAACAATAATAAACATAACAACCCCCAATTTCACCATAAATAGGTGGTATGTTTACCATTCCCGAATGGGTGGTTTATTTGTTTAACCACATGAATTGGTTATAATTGGTATACAACCAGAAATGAGGATATAAGCCGCTATCAGACTGGGATAACACTTGTTGGTTGATAGTTCAATGTGTGGGTTTGATATGGTGTTACTTCTCTAGCTTATTTTTTTCGTATTAAAGTTGTCAAAACCTGTATTTATACCCTATGGATCCGCCGCACCTTCTTAGGAAGTGGGACTGGGGTATGCTTTGTGTTTTTTGGGGTGCCTCGTCAGGAGGTGTTTGGATCCATAGGGATACCCTCTGGCTATTTAACATAGCTATGGCAAATGGTCCATTTATAGAGTATAAACATCATGATTGACCTATCCAAAATGGTGATTTTCCATAGCTATGTTAAACAACCAAACGGTAGATATTTGGTTGGTGGTTTGGAACATTTCATATTTTTTCCATATATTGGGAACAATGATGCCATTTGACTAATATTTTTCAGAGGGGTTGAAACCACCAACCAGATATTTACCCTCTGGTAAACAAACATAACTATGGAAAATCTCCATTTTTCCAGGGAAATTTCACTATAAATGGCCATGTTCCATAGCTATGTCAAATTACCAGAGGGTATAGAGATTGCCCATGGATTTTCCAGCCAGGTTTGATTTTTCCACGGCGCTGAGGGAAACTGACGGAATCCTCCATCCTGATGGCGCTGGTGACGTTTCTAAGCAGCCGGCCGTGGCCACCGGAGGTATCTTTGGTGTTTTATACACGCATCATAATCCCTATAGATCTCATATACATATATATATATATATACACCCTTATGAACTTGGTTTCATAATCCCTAGATAGGCCCTAGATCTAGTCAAAACATGTCAAGAGCATAGGCGCCTTATAACATGTTAAAATTGTCATTTTCGAAATTGGAGTTACAAAGCAACTTAGCCAACGAACTGGGCCTTTTATGCATATGGGGAGAATTATGTAACCAGCAACGACTGAATTTGTGCTTGGAAAATCTAGAATCTGATGCATAGAATGTATACATATTGAAATGGTTCGCTTTGGGGGTTGGACATGGCTCTAGAAGAAGTTATGGTCGGTTGATACTTCAGAGTGGGCTTATACTTACTATCTCTTTTAATGGGATTCTGGACTTTATATGTAATCAATAGGAAACCCGTCCTCAACTCAGAAAGGTTTGGGCAGTTGCTCAGAGTTTTTTGTTGTGAATCCTGAGCCCTCACAATAACATGAGAGTTATAATGAATTAGGGGTTGATACGCCTGTCTAGTAGCAGTTTTATTTATGAATTTGTGTAAACATAATAAAACAAGGGTCTATCATGACCTATGATGGTTTATGAATGATAATCCGGCCTCAGTGGCAGATCAAAACACATAATGGCTGGGTACTATAGGAAAAGCTTCTTGGTGTGGGCAATGTAATCCGTCCAGATATTATATATATATTATACAAGATTTATTTATGAACACACATATATATATATATAATATCATAATCTAAATCAATTTAGTATACAGTATACATTGTGTTATGTATATACTTAATACATATATATATATATTTATACAAGGAATCCTGAATAGTGGTCAGATGATGGGAAAAAAAGAAAAACATGCCCAGATGGTGCTTTGCAGTGCTGTCGTCTGTCGTCTCAGGTTGGTGTGTTATCAAGGCTTTGCCGTCGCTTGGCGACTGGTGAGTTCGGTTCCAGTTGATCCAATGGAGATAGTTCGGTCTTCAGATTCCTGCCCATCTAGCTGGGGTGTATTCCCCTACTCAATGGGAGATCTCCAGGATCCAACAGATGGAGGTACGTAAACGTACCATATTCTTGGCCATATTTTGTGGTGATATTCCCTTACATAGGCCTTATATAGGCCTTATATATGGTTGGTACCTCCAATTTAGGATCCTGGAATGGCCATTGACCTACTAGAACTGGAATATGATCATATGATATCACATGCATCGGGCTAAAAGCCAAGTACTGAACATCCTAACTTCGTTGGAACCTCTCGCCCCGAATGGCAGTCAGCCTCAGACCAGGTATGAGTCGACTTGTCGGTCATTTCCAGAATTGATTAAACGTAACCTCAAAAAGTTTCATTTAACCAAACCATTGAACCCCTACACATAGAGTCTTGTTGCATGTGTTTCTGCTTTTGTATGTCATATATTTTGGCATGTTGTTTGGCCAAAGTTTGATCTTATGTGGGATCGAACACTACAAACATGGGCCCCGTGGCTTGCCATTGCCATTTTCATGCCATGAAAAAATGCGGCTTGGGAATTGGTGGCTTGAAATCTGTCGGACATCGAAGAGAATAGTGAAACAGTGATCTTAGGTTGCGGAATCTTCACCTAGATTATCCTAGATTTGGTGAGTCACTTGCTTTGCGGCTCAAAAGAGCCCTATGAGCCAATAGGGTATGGCACCAGATCCACTGCTCACTCCCTTCGCCGCCCCGATCTGACCCAAAGCGATGGCTCGGGTGAGCGATGATGCACGTCAGATGCTGGAGGGCAGCTATGTATACTGGATGCTGGGTGGTAAAACCGTTGGGTTTATCCATACCCATAGGATCCATGGTGCTGCTATATATGGTAACATGGATCCCATCAATATACCCCAAATGTTAGCATATAATAGCATATATATATATATACCATACATGGATCCTGTGGGATAGGATATCCATCGTCCATGATACCCCTAAGACCTCGCATGGTCATTGATCATTTTCCCTTAAAAATTCCATTTGGGGGTATGTACTGTTTTCATCAATTTTTGCAGAGACTCCAACATGAAAGAGAGAGAGAGGGGGAGAGAGAGAGAGTCCTCTTTGCTAAAAAAGACTTGGCACGGAAAATCACATGCAAAAGGATGACCATTTAAGAGTCGCGTAAGCAAAACCCTGCAGCTGTTATGCGAAAAGCCCGCGTAAGCATCAGCGTAAACTATTCCTGCGATAAGCTAAAACTGTGAGTGCGTAAGCTGCGGCGAAAGCATTCCCTTAGCGCCTTCATGCGCCTTCCATAAAAAGGCCTTTTGACCACGGCTCATCTAGTACTACAATGTGCCCCCCCCAGTTATAAGTTGGTCTATAAGCTACATCAACTATAGTTATAAGTACCATAAACATCCATAAACCATAGTTAATGGAGTTATGTTCACCAACTTAGCTATCGAACGGGGGCCTCACATTGTAGGAAATGTCCCATCATTGCACTCTCCAGAAGTCAAAGATGGCGTGCCGGATTTCCCCCAAAAAACCTACATGTCGTTCGGGAATATCAATACCATCGCCATGTTTGATGACATTGGAGGGTAGCTACTGTATCATCAGTCATAAATTCTCGTGAATCATCCATTATACATAATCTATATATACCTTAAGAATCAGTACCTTCTCAAATTTACAGGTATGAAAAATAACCGGGTTATTTATACCAAAACCGGGTTATTGAATATCTCATAATCATAAGAAATCAAAGATCCATGAGTTATTGAATATCTCTCTCATAATCATAAGAAATCAAAGATCCATGATGTTGTGGCAGCTGTGGATGACCCATTGGCTCAATTCCTGGGCCCCTGCACCATGCTCCTGCCAGACGCTCAGTTTTCACGGAGTTGACTTAAGAGATCAAATACCCTGCCCGAACAAACTCCTGCTTTGCAGAAAGGAGGTAACGCATCAAGACCCTTTGGACCACATTTGATGCATGGGTCCTTCTCGACACCCGTGAACTTTTTCCTATGAAATCTTCATCCATCTGGGTTCCCCAGGCCAGAGGATGAATGATGTAACGCTTGTTGTGGGATCCTTTGAGTAAATCCACTAAAAAAATATGTTGCAGAACATGTGCCTTAGGCATAAAAATATACAGGCTGCGACCCTGATCATGGCACATACAAGCTAATTGATGGTAAAGTCGAAGGAATTCGACACCAAGGGTTCCAATTTCAGCTGCCATACTTGATGGCAACCAGAAGTCATCCACGCTATACAATTTGCTCATGCATTTGTTTGCAACCTGTGCAGCCACCCGCGTTTTCAAAAAAACGGGATCATCACTTTGAACGTTGCTGCTCCAAGATTCAAACCATTTAAAGAGCACTGTGGTAGCAGAACCTTTTGACCATATCCCTTTGGGAAAATCAGAGGTAGTGGTCCATGAGATCGATTCTTTGTTGATGTTGGTCAGGTATGGCACCTCACCATTTTCTTTGCACCAACCCCGAAAAGCTGCAGTGAGATTGGAGAAACGGATATCCACTGTCCCACCAGGAAAGTAAGTAGAAGCCAAAGCCAGCGCACTTCCTAAGAAGTGTTTTCCAAGTCCTAAACGAAACGAGTGCCAGATGTCATACTGGAAGAGTCGCTCCAATTGCCCATCAACATGAGGAACACCAGCAAACTCAGGTAACTTCCAAAACGGACTTTCCTCCCCAATGCTGTCCAGCCATCTAGGTGATTGAGAACCAATTTGTTCAAAGGGGTAAGGACCCTGTCCCGCAGAACATAAATGGCAAATCCCTCTGCACCAAACTGGTTGTGGTCCCTTGGTTGGTGGAATCCTCTTTGGAAGGCAAGCAAAGTTCCTTTCAAGGCGCCCAACTTTGGCCAAAAAAGGCCAATCCCCATGAATGCCAATGAGGCAAGCATGGACCCTTCCACGCTTCTCAACCTCCACCCCGTGTCGACACATGTAGTCGGCTTCAGCAGCAGCAAACGAAAACAATGCGTCCACATTTTCATCATCTTTGAAGTAGAGATGTTTTGGCAATACCCCACAAAGAAAACGATTAGTGTGAACATGGCCAATGTAGTTCAACTTCTGCTTGAGGTACGGTCTATGAGCTGAAACTTTGGTTTGTTCTCTCTTGGCAGGTCTCAATCCACGTCCAAGACAGCTATGAAACTGGCTCACAAAGAATTGTTGTTTCCGCCTCCCTCTACCCTCGTCTCCATGGTAGATGAGTCCAATTGTGTCCTCTAGTTTTAGAAGACCTTTCCGCTCCAGAGAAAAAAAATCATGATCACTGTTGGACTCCCTGAATTTTTCCCAAAATGATTTCCAGATAGCTCTTTCACGATCAAGGTCTGCACGCACTAAGCCTGCTAAGATGTGCAAACAGTTTCTCTCAGCCAGATGTTGAATCCAGTCTCGCAATCGTAGAGCATGAAAAGGTTTCCCACGTTGATCCCTCGAATTTGGAACCAGTGTGAGTGGAATGGGCATGTCCAACTTGTGCTTTTTGAATTGAGTATGCGCACTCCTTTCCTCATTGCCAACAGCAGTCTGAGCAAACCGAACTAAACCACCAGAAGCTGATGCAGCTTGTTGTCCAACATCAGCCACCATATTTTTGGCAGTCCGAACTGCTGCTGCACATGAAGCCTCATTTGCTGATGACACACACGCAGAACGAACTAGTGTTCGATCAAGGTGATCCATGATAATCTTTTGAATATGATCAACTTACGAGATGTGAAAAACATCATCAAAGGATGTGGAATGTCTATATGCTATGATAGGCCCACCTATGGTTTAACCACGCGTGCTCAGCCACTTTCACTCAAACCTGCTGAGGTTGGAACTCCATTGCCGATGTCGGATGCAAAACCACGGAGAACTTTGCCAGCAGGCTGACCTGGCACACAGTCAGATGAATCATGATCCAACAATGTTCCTTGTTGATCAGCAAAAGAACGAACGGTTGAATCCAACGCATGTATGCTATTTTTTCCCATGTTTGCTTTGAGCTTCGGAAAGCATGGTCAGCACCACGCGTGTCCCCCATGAAACAAAAGATTGTGAAGCCAACTGGGTGGATGGATCAACATCAATGACAATTTCATTTTTTTCAAGCTAGCACATGTATCATACAAGATTGAAGATAAACGATTATGACGCTCAACTTCCACCTTTGGAATCAGGTTTTGATTTGATCTAAGTGGCTTCAACCCCATGGTATATACTGCCATGTCATGTCGCAGGATTTCCCACGACATTCCAAAATCAGAAACGCATCACGAGGCCCTACGTTTGGAAGGCTTGGATTTCGCAGCCCTGGCCTTGGCCTTAGCCTTTGGATCTGGTGAAACAGCTGCATCAGGAGTGGTAGTACGACGGGGAACTTTGGGTGGAGGGGCTTCAAGAGACTCATCCCCCTGCCTTTTCTTAAGATACTTCTTCTGCAACCTGCACCAAGAAAGGTTGCATGACATATGTTGCAGCCATGTTACAATCAACAATCAAGGCTAAGAACACCAATGGAAATTTTCTAAATGATCGATCCAGCCTGAACTTGGCTTCAAAGGCAGCCGCTTTGCTGGACCTTGATGCTAACTCAGGCTATTTGACTTGAAATTTATTTCATGATAGATTGATGGATGGCCACTGTCATCATTAATGAATCATGGTTGGTTTACGTCGCAGCCAACGACAGCAGCACTTACTGGGTCAATCTTGGAATCCAACACCGTGGTTGTTTTTCGCATCTTCGGCTCCGCTTTGGCCCAAAACCTGGGCATGCAGGAGGAACAAGTCAATGGGATATTGGTTTGGGAGTAAACTTCTGAAGCCTAGTAACGCTTCACCAAAGCCATCAAGATCACCAGTTGAGAAGATTTCATTCAAGACATCATATTCCAGGTCCAAGCTTTTGATGT